TAGATCCAAAATAAAGGTCAATCCAGCCGTAACCCTCCTCAGACTGTATAGGTGTAAAAGACTCGTTATATTTAGTGCTTTTTCTGAACCTGAATTTTAAGTAAACTCGCACTTTAAGGTCAGCGTGCTTGGTTTTACTCTTGTGTGCTTCTAAATATAACCTGGTAAAACTTATTGGGAATAATAGCTATACCATTCTTCCGCTCGCTCCGTTGACTTAATCATAATTTACTTAGAGACCTTAAAAAAATACCATATATAAGAATTATAATCGAAAGTTGTATGAGATATCAGCCATACGATTCCATTGTCATTTGCGAAAACTAAGCTCTCGACATTTATGCGAAGCACATGGCCATTAAACGCAGGAAGTATTATTTTGATTTTACAAACTGTTTGGCCAGGCATCGCTTCCTTCATTCGTACATTTGGTCGAGTGAATAGCATTGATCTAATGGTGCATTGTTCATTAGCTCTGATTTCATACGCCGACTTGGAAATATGAAAACGGAAGACGTCTACTTTCTTAGTTTTTACCAAAGTTGTCTTCAACGATAAGTGCATAAATAATATATTCTTACATTTGTGAGAAACGATTAACGATTCTTCTTTATTTTTTCTCATTTTCTGTTCAAGCTTGTTGTTGTTCGAATCGGATCATCATCTTATCTATACGATACTTTATAAGATCATTTGAATTAATTTATTCGTGCCAACAAATGCTAAGAATATTTTAAATTTGCCTCGATGCATTTTCTAGTCTGTCTACAAGAATTAAAATCTGTTATACCAATTGTAATTTACTTCTATACATGGTAAAATAATGGAATATTATTGCTTTCTATGGTTTTTATATAAATTTACTTGTAAATTGAAATTATCATTGTAGCTTTCTTCGTAATATATCTTTCATTTGTCCTTTTCTCGATTTGGTAAAATTCTAATTGAAGATGTTATATGTTTTCGTGTTGAAGATGTTACTGTGTATTTTCTACTGGTTTCAATCAGATTTCAGATTGAAACCAATAAAACATACACCTCATTTACAATAAACGTGTTTGCTTGACCTTCTCTTCCGTGACAATTGTGTGGAACAAACACCAGGAAAGTGATACATAATACATTGAAAACAATAAAATATCAATACAATTAATTTTTTGGACTAAACTGTTTCAACTTCAAAAATATTTGCAGGTTTTTAATTCAAAGAAAGATACTACATACTCGGTTCAAAATTCAGAAGTTATTGTATGTTCAAGGTGTTTAAATACACTTCTGAATTTTCCGTAAACAGCTGTTAAGTGCTAGCTGATAATGCCAACACAAGATTGACATTGGTTTCAAATGATGTTTAGTTTATCCACGTGCATTCAAGATTCAACAGTTTATTCAACGTTATCACTATCGATATTGTTATCTTCCTGCATTATCATTGACAGGAAAGGACGTGTTAATGACACTTATATAGCTTACTATTGTTTGTATCCAGTAATATGTGATTGGGAGGTTGGTATAAAGAGAAAGTTATCTTTAGTAACTGTTGCTTCTCATAGTCAGTAATATCACTTACGCGGATAATTAACTCGGTTAATTGTCGAGTAACTTTAAAAAAATAACTCCATTGTTAGTGTAATACGAGTTTATGCCTACCCGTGATATAATTAATGTATTTTGGATTAATATAAACATATGCTTACAAAAGATAAGAATGATATACGTGAAGAAGTTTGGGATCATCATAAGAGTTGACGACGATAGAGATTCTTCTTCCATTGTTTATATGTTTTGAAATTAACGAATTAATATCAGTTTATAATTCCCACTGTTGTGAATTTATTTAAATCATATAAAATAAATTATATAAAATTCCAATTTAATTAAATTTATAATTTGAAACATTTTAAAATTTGATATTTATATAAATAATATAAATGTAAGTACCTGTGTAGTTGTTTCCCTTTCTTCTCCACTTTAGTCGATAGGCATTGCCCATTTTTTCTTTCTATCAGTTTAAGTGTGTGTTGCTATAATCATACATCTTCACTCCATCTATCTGCTCTAACTTCCTTCCGTAACATAAGTCGAAATTGCTTTGTTCCTAATCTTATACCTGTTGTTCCACTGTTTCTATACTTCCTACATAATATATTTTTTTCTTACTTTTACTAAATCTAACGAACTTAATGAAAAACATAATTTTACATCACAAACAAAGCTTTTTTTTCTTCCTAAATATTATCCGTACATCATCCATTTAAAATTTAATAGATTTTCTGACTTTTATGGATATTTATAATAAAAATACAGCAAAATAATATCTTAAAAGTGCAATCAATTGCTGCCATAATAATTCATTACTGAAATATGCTATAGATTTAAATTTCATTTGAATTGATCAACAGATACGTTATGAATCCACAACGATTCTCATTTTATAAATTCTTATTAAACCCGTTACACATACTCGTTATATATTATAATTTCAAATCCGAACAATTTATTCGTAAATTGTTAGTGACTTAATTTCCATTTGAACTCCGATCGGACTATTAATTTCATTTAGAAATTCTCTGTTGCATAAAATAATTATATTTCCGTATACTTTAACGCATTAATTTCTCAATAATTGCTCTCTCCAATCATTTTCATTAGGCAATGCAATCTATTAGAACCATATTCCAGTTTAAGAATGTTAACAATTTAAAATATACAGTATGTATAACGTAAATGTAAAAATTGTAACTTACATTAAACATGTCGGCACGATACATAAAGTAATATAAATAAAATAAGCAGTGAAAGGCAAACAGTATACACAACATAGTATATGTTAAAACTACAACATAGCTAATAGTTTTACCGTTAAAACAACGAAATAATAAACCTTTTTCGCCGTTATTTACAAATTANAAACTGTAGATAAAAGTTTAAAAAGTTATAGAAAATGGATCGGGTTATAACACGCAGATAACATAATCGACTCTACACAGTTACACTTTCCTCATTTGTTCTGTATCTCAAATTGAAATCATTCGTGTTGATATCGACCCAATGATCAATATCGAGTTTGACACTATCTGCCGAGTATCTCTCGGCTGATTATATTTTAATAAAAGTTTTCCACCAATAAAGGAATACAGAAGTTTGTCGCAATTATTGTTATAGTAGAAAGTTTCATTTTTGCATACCTCCCATCATGAATAATCAATGAGTAGTCCATTTAGTTACTGTGTTGTTACTGATATCGATTGTTTAAAACTTTGTTACTCATTGGAGGTGTATAATTGCTCGTGTATTATGTCGTATTCGTGTTTGTAACCGTTTTAATAAATATATATATTAAAAAATATATATTTATGTATTATCGTGTTATTTATACTCGACGTAGAGGCTCGCAAATATATTAATTAAATTTCAATTTATATTAATTTATTGCCTGAAAAACTTATTTAGTGATCGCATTTATTGCGGTATAAGTTTATTTTTTTTTCGAATAGAAAACGTGAAATTTCTTGACACTTAGTTGCTCGAAATCATAAAATGAAGTTATATTAAAGTTTTCAAAGGAAATGAAATGATTATATAGATTTTTTTTTCCTCTTCGAAAAGAAAGTAAAGAATTACATTTTTAATGATCAAGGTAATTTGTTTGGAAGTCATTAGTTCCGTAATGTTATAATTAAAACGCAAGTTTATTAATACAATTTAAAAATTCAAGAACGATTGATAATTAGAACGGATTCGAAAAAAAAAGACAGAAATTCTTAAAAAAATTAATTTGATGAGAGTATTCTGTATAGAACTAAGAACAGAATAAATGTGATTATAATTGTTTTATTTCCTTTGACAATTAAATAAATATTTCGAAGTATTTCTATATATTTAAAAGTTTGTATATTTATCAAAAATACTCAATTATTTTGTGTTTTTAAAGAATTTTTGACGTTTTGAATAATGTAAAGTAGCTTATAGAACTATAAAATCTCTAGCGAATTATGCCAAATAAAGGTTTCCGTTTTATACAGGTTTCATTTTGAACAGGCTTTACACTTTAAATGAAAACAATTTATACGTGATTTCTACAGCATGTTACAGTCTGGTTCACACGTATCGGTTCAGGTATACCTGACATCACACGTCCAGGTATACCAGTACATGTGTACCCGGATCAAGTTACTGTATTTTTTTCAATTGAGATGCTTTATTTATTGAATGACTATGCATAGAATAGTTATAGAATAGGTTTATAAAGCATACAACATTAAAGTAAAACTAATTGCCTTCCTTACAGGACGAATATATTAATGTATTAGAACAAAGACAATGGTAAAATAAGTAAATCAGTCTACTAATTTTTAATTATTCTCCTCACGTCTTGCCATAAGCTAGTTACGATCAGATTAATATTCATGTCTTAGTGTTATTGATGGTTATTTTGTATAGGCCTATATGCAACAAATAAGAGAACTGCGAAAGTAACAATTGTATAAAACCGGATTAATCATAATTCGGAATAATTAATAACATAGTTTCGTGTATCATTAAATTCTCGGCAGTTTAAATGTAAATTATTGTAACTTTATGCCCTTAAACTGTTACGTCAGAAACACATAGTTTCATATTCGATAATAAATTACCCTACAAGCTTAACTGTATATTCCGAACAATACTATAACACAAAGTAAAGGAATATAGCAAACAAGAAAGCATATTTCCTTTAGAAATTTAATCTCCTTTGTCCATTTTTCACAGAAGACAACCGAAAAGAAAATCCATTAGAAATTTTGTATTTAGCGAAAATCAAAGTTTCGATATCGTTCCCGTCAAAAACTATTTTTCTTTCTGGTATCAAACAAATTACAAGTCGGAGATTTATTACACATATCAACAGAGAGCATAGGAAATCCTTTCTCGGAGAATATCTTGTTGTTTCTATTGCAGAAATTTATTTATTTATTTTATTATTTTCGTTTCTCAAAATTGTATTTTCTGTTTTCTAGGAACAGCATTGATGCAACTTGTCGATGTCCACAAGGAAATTCAAGCTCAACAGACTAATATTGTAAGTGGTGTAATTGCTAATATTACACGCGTATTGTTAAATAGATTTAATTAAGTATCGATTATAATAATTGTTCTCATTGTTAATATTGTCTTTCTAATTATTAATTATTAATTATTATTGTCTTATTAATTATTAATGTGGCAAAAATGTGTTTTAATTAATGCTTACATACACTACACGCAGTTAATTCATACATATTTTATTAATTTATACAAAGATAAAGCATAAAACCACGCAATTGATTTTTTTTTGGGGGGCTGGGATCTTCCAGTTAAGTGGCATTTTTAATGGTGTTTTTAGTTTCTTTCGTATAAAATTGCTTAAAGAAATACTACTTTATGCAAATTAAAATTGCTTATTTATATTCAAAATGTCTTTCAAATCTTTTTAAAATGATTTATTTTACTTTCAAAGATCTGCTTAAAGGAAAGAATAAATTTTGCGATTTTTAAGAAAGTTTGTTTTTATAGCTTCGAGTTTTAATGATATCCGAGTAAAAGAATATTTGTATCGACTTTGTAATATTTTTCTTAGTTTTATTTCAGAGACGGAGAACGGGAACGTAATAAAAATTATATTTTTTGAATTATGTTTAGCGAGGAAATTAAATGCAAAATTTTAATCCACACACACACACTATATATATATATATATTATATCAGGTATTTTTCATGTTAATTGATTCCTGGAGATTTTCATTGAAAATGAAAAGAGGGAATTGTTCCTTCCAAGACGATCAATACTTTCGTAGAAGGATTCGTTTCAGAATTTAATATTTAGAATTCGTAAAATTTAACAGCACTCTTAATACATTTTGATGATTAAAATTTGATTTTCGTCTATTTTACTAGTTAAAATTTTATCCATGCTTTTTATTTTACAATAGGGAAACTTAATACGTATCTATCTCGTTGTTGTTTAGTATTTTTTTTAAATTAATTACAACTGCTTAATTAGATTTAAAATACACAGTAAAGTTCTAATGGATAAAATAATAGATTTTGATTGATTTTTAGAATCGCTATGAAAGTAATAAAGGTTTTATTCCGCCCTTATAAGCATGGGTGTCCACAGAAGATTTTCCAGGGGGGAGAAAGCTTGAAGACTAATTACATAATTTAATCTTTATTTATTTAATTTTTGGGGTTTTTTTAAGACAGACAAAACGTTCCATAATCGAGGGTATAAGACTAACTTTTATGATTATAATTTGTAGAATTATTTACTCTGTTCTAGGGAGGGACAGGTGCCCCGTTTACACCCTCTACGTCCACTCTTATAAGTGAACAAAACAACAAGATCGACTAGTTCGAAATCAATTAATCGTACGACAGTTAACTAACCTTAGACAAATCACTGGCTCAATTTCTTTAAGCGGAATTTTGTTCGAGATAATCGGACCATATGTTCCTTGCTATACATGACTGTTTTAATCGATGCTTTCCAAACTTAGTTTCTGAGTGACACACTAAAGTTAGATGCATCTTTGCCGGAAACTCGTTTAACTGGATAATTAACGAACGCACAAAAGACAAAATGAAAACTTTATTTTAAAAAGATACTTTTGCACCTCTCTAAATATGTACAGTTATGGAAAAAAATAGAATAAATAACATTTTATGCATAAATTAAATCAGAATAAGGAATACGAAATAATAAAAGATAATAAAATTGTCGAAATTATCTAAAATACGTTCTTGAAACAGTTTTTAGATTTATGTTTACATCTCGATATTTGACTTTCGTGACACTACAATTCCACTAAGAGAAAAGTCATTAATTTCCTTAACCTCAAAAGCTTATCTATTCATATTCATGAGTTTCACGACTCCCCGACGTAATAACAGGGAACAGCCAGTTTTGGAGAGATTTGGTTTCAGCTAATAGGAACTTAACAAGTTTCTGGTTATGTCGCTTACACGTATTTGCAGTTTACAACCTTCGACTGAGAAATAGTTCCATTTATCCACCCGAATTTGAAGTTATAAAAGTCGTTAAAGTTATTACGATTAGAATGCTGTATAAGTCGATTTGACCTAGTTTTACTTTTATTTAATTGATAGTGAAAAAATTAGATAATTAATTTATTATTAATATCGAGGGTTTAAGTTAAATTATTTAAAAGTGTATAAAATTGAGAGAATTAACTTAACAAGTATACAAATTTTTTAATGGTTTCACACATTGTTTCACGTCTTCTGTCGTAGTAGATAGTAGGAACATACTTTTTTCTTGACGTATTCCCATAGAAAGTAATTAAGAGGTGCGTGAAATCAGGTGAACGAGTCCTCCACGACCTATCCATCTGTCACCGTATCCCCGGTTTAATAGCGTATCTCTGCCAAGTGTGGTGGAGCACCATCTTGCCGAAATCACATTTCTCTTCTCAAATTTAGTGGTGCACTTTTAAGAAGCGCATATTATTAAAAAAAATTTATAAATGAAAGTTTCTTGTCTTTTATTTTCCCGGCTGTTGTGTGTGTAACACGGGAAAGTATTGTAATCGTGTGAAATTGAGCTCTCTGGATTTCTGCGAATCTTGACGTTTTGAACCCAAAAAATATAAAAAAAAAATGCAGGAAAAATTTCCATGGGTATATGTAGGTGTGTGTTTTCTATTTCGTTTAATTTCTCAACATGGGATAAAGATTAACAATTAAAATTTGGCACGGTAACTTGTATATAAGAGGCATTAGTGCTATTAAAGTATGGTGGTTAAAGGTCGAGGAGGTGAGAAGATAGAGTAAGTTTAAAGTTTCTTCTCTACCCTCAAAATTTGCCTTTTTATAAGAATTAATAAGCTAAAAGCTATTTTTTAAAATAAAATTTCATAACGGATGGCGCAACACACAATTTTAACTTTGTGCTAATGTGTCTTGGGGTTTCTTAAACATAATTTTCGTCGGAAAAGTTACAATGTAGAAATATATATTTTTCTCTGTGGGTTCCATTTGAAATTTCAAATTTTGTCTTCTGTTTCCCTGTGAAACAGAGCGAAGAGCGACTTAATTTTATCATTGTTACGAAGGTCATTTAAAACCATTTTAAAAAATGGAAAAAGGGCTGTTTGAATCGGTCAACTCGTAACGATTAATTACATTTTATAAGTGAGATTACAGAAAAATTGGAAATTTCAGTTAAGTCGATGAGATTCTTCCTCGTTCGATTCCGTTTAAAATAAATGAAAACGTTAATTAAATCAAATTAATAAACACTGTTGAATGGCTAATACAGTCAGTCATTTAATTGAAATTATGATATACATTTTAATATAAACTGTAATCAAATTAGAAAAGTAATTACTCTCGATAAATGTTTCGAAAATTAGGAAATAATAACACGTATTTAAGAATTAAGAGTGTTGTTAGATGAATAAAAGTAAGTTAACACAACGTACAGTTGATTAATTTACTCAAGTAACTACCAAAAATCGGTTAACCATACCTTCGACAAACAATTTTTGCAAGAAAACCAGCAACTTCTGAGGGTACTAAAATTTCAAATGTATTAAGGATTCTTTGTGAAATTTTCTTGAAATTTTGATATTTCATTTATAAATCTTACGGACACAGATAACAGAAGGTGTACGAATTAATTCAAAAGTTATATTTTTAATAGTTAATAAGGCACGAATATTGGAAGAAATATGGAAGAATTATAGAAAAATTTACACATACCTTCCAATATATAATTTATGTTACACAAAATAGTTATTATATAAATATATATTATTAATACAAGCAATTATTTATTGTTACATCGATAATTCTCGATACTAAATGTTACTAATACAATAAATAAATGATATACCTTAACTATATTAGACTACAGTTATTGATATTAAAATTATCCTATATTTCTCAAATATTTATAAGATATATTTTTAATATTTATCAAAAAAAAAAAAAAATAGTATTGAAATATCACGAATATTTTAAATATCACTGAAAAGTTGCCCTTTTTTTTCTCAAATTTCCTGAAATTTGAGTTGATATTTAAATTTACTTCATTGATTATGTACGATTCTGGTTTTTATTAGAATAAAACTGAATATTTTTATAAAGAAATATTTTATATCTCCTACATTTTTCTGAAGATATTTTTAACCGAAGCTTCTACATTATTCTTTAGAGTATTTTCTATTATCTTAACCGAGTAGATTTTCATTAGCGAGACCAGAATAAAGGGGAGGATGTTCTATACTTGACGTTTCCACGACATAATTAATATAATTAAAAGCAAAATATAAATTTGGCAATTTATCCTAAAGAGTAAACTGTAGTCAATACTTAGAAAGAGAAAGTTATCATTCATTATATTATGAATATAATGAATGAAAATTTCCTCTTATTCAATGAAGTCACAACTTCAATTTATGATGAATATTCAATTCGTTATAAAGTGGAGTTACGTGAATTTATCTCGCACCCTTTAAACGTTTCCACGTTTTCCACCGTTTAATATTATACAATTATCTGAATTACATAATAGAATTTATTTAAAATTAATTTTAATATAAAGTTAATATTATAATTGCTTAATCTGTATTTTCTCTTGTTGTTGAGTTAACAAGGGGAATTTTGTGGAAAATTTCTGAAATTTTGCAGGGAGATTTGTGTTAGATTCGTTGATGCGGTCAAATTTTGGTGGTTAAAGGTCAAGGGGTCGGAAGGTACAGAAGGTCACTTGTGTATCTCGAGTGGGATAGGACTTAATGAAGATTTTATTCGTTATTAGAATTTACAATTTTTTTAAACTCGTCTCTACCCCGAAAATTAAGCTTTTTGCCATTTTATAATAATAATAATAATAATATAAAGCGTTTAAATAAAATCTCGTAACAGATAGAGCCACACACAATTTTAACTCTTGCCAGGAAATTTACGCAATTCGTTGCAGAAATTTTTTACATGTAAATAAATTTTTATTGTTTTATAATTTATTAATGTATTACATATACATTAATGTTAAAACATAAACATATTTTCAAATAACGATTGCTACTATATATATAACACACATACATACGTCTATATATAAAATTATAATTATTTCCTACATTGTAAGACAATTTTATTTTTACAAATTTAAAAAAAATTCCTGTAAATTTTTCGTATAAATTTAATGGAGTTGCCACACAAAATGCTTTTTCCCTCCTCATTTTTCACCTCGCATTAGTAGTAAACTAATTTATATTCAATTTAATTACGATAATTCTCTGTCAGCGACTCTTTTAGTTGAAGATCGATCATCTCTAGTGGTTATACAGTCCGAAAAAATTAAATTTTCTGATATATTTATAATACAAGAATGCATTTTCAAGTTTTGTCAATAATTTTTTTCATGGGGATGTTACTACAGCTTTACGAATCAATTGCATTAATATATATATTTTTTCCTTCGAATAATCGCATTAGAATATTTCCAGTAATAATTCCTTGCTGATTATTCACCTAACTGCATCTATCATCGTCTTACTTCTTACCCAATTCTACACCTTTATGAAGATTTACACAAAAAATTCTTTATATCTATTTAGTTTGATCTGTTTTCTTTGACACAGTGTGAAGATCCGTGCTAAATTAACCGTTACCTTTAAATATCGAGAAATTAAAGTGATTAATATCTTCTATTATCGATCCTTATCGGTAATTGGATCATCGAAAGAGAGAATAATTAGATTACGCTTATAAAATAAGTATCGAATCTTACGTGTGTCAATAATTACATAAAAATTAATATAATTTATCAGATAATACGTTCATTTAATCATGATTTGAATGCATTTTAATAAGCTAATTTATATGATAAATGTTTATTTCACTAATCTGAATGAAGCTGCATCAATTACAATATAGTCTATTAATTCCAATTACGATTAAATATGTTTTAAGATAGTTTTAAACTGTTTTAAGTTTTAATTAATAAAACTACAATAGTATTTAATTGGCATTTCTTCTGAACAGTTACTGCCACTTGCTTAAACTCATTTACATATTTTAACCAATTTCTATATGAAAAACCTGTTTTTAAAACAGAATACATTAAATTTATTACCTTAATTAACCTAATATTTAAAAGAAAAGTCTTTTATTGGTCATGTTTTTCAAGATTGTGGTGGGGGATGGAGATGAGGACAACCCCATCATAAACATGACTACAGTGCATTGACACACGCGTCACGATTAAATTCTTGTACATATGGTTATGTTTATCGGATTTCTGAATGGGTAGGACGGTGGGGTGAGCTATCCCCCTAAAACGTCATTAAAATGCACTGTCATGCGACTTGGGTATGTCCCCAAAGTTTCGCCCTTCTATCTTAATTAGAAGTAGGCGAAATTTGAGATGCAAGATTTGATGCGTGATACAAAGCAAGTGAAATAAAGGGAAATATTTTGACAGAAAAATAAATTGGCAGAATACTTTGTCAATAAAATTCTCGAAATTAAAGACAGATTTTATTGGAATTTATTCTTTAATAAATTATCTGATTTTTCTTGAGGAAAAATGCTCGACTTTCAGACAACTCTCTCTCTCTCTCTCAAATGAAATTCTCAATTTCTGGTTGAAAAATGATGCTTAGAAAAATGTGCCTAATAATACAACTAGGCCTACGTTAATATATGTAACAACGATATACTGTATTGGAAACATGTAATTTTTGGATCTTTTTAAGAAAAAAAAAAAGACTAAGTTATACATTAGGGAGTTTTGTTTGTCTCTAAGGAGCGAAATCAAAGTATTAATTAATATATAGTCCTTAATTCATAAAGGAAATCAAATAAGGGATAAGGCGTAGAGGCTTAATGATTTAAAGGGTAACGATCATTATATTAGATATAACTTCAATTGTAAGTTATATATATTATATAAGACTTAAGATGAATCCTTTAATATCAATTATTATTCAATATAAAATAAGAATCCCTTATTGTCGTGTAAATGAAATAATGAACTTTAAGCACCAATGTTATAGAAATGTATACTTTTATTAATTTTGGTTTAAATCAATCAATAATTGTAGATTTCAAGAACTGTCTAAGACGAACTCACTAAATTTGGAAAAAAAGTAGTAGTATATCTTGATAAAAGAAAGACTCCATATTATCTAATAATGATTCATTCGAATTTTTATAAAATAAACATTTAATATATCGGAAGTGAAGTGAAATTATCATCACTTACTGATTTCCTGGAACGAAAATATAATTTTATTTATACTGCAAGCATGGACGTTTTCAGAAAGGGGACGAACGGGGCACGTCCTCTCCCTGGGATCGAGTAAAAAATTCTACAAATTATAATCGTAACAGTGATTGAGATATGTAACCTTAAACCCTCGACCTCGCTTTGTCTGTCGTAAAAAAAACCCCAAAAATTAAGTAAATAAAAAATTTAATGATGTAATTGTCCTCAAACTTTGGTCCTCTAAAATTTTCTGCCAAAGTCCACGTTTGCATACTTCATTATTTACTGTTTAATTTTTTAAAATTTAAATAAAGTAAACCGGTATAATCGAATGAATTATTACAAATCTATTTTATATCAATCATAAAAATAAGTAGTTTAATAGACGCACATTGTTTCTTACGATTTTCTCCATAATGAGTCTGGAGAGGATCGAAAGACGAATTCAGTTGGGCCGAATTTATACAGTATTTCATCTCTCTTCGGACGAGGTGTGTGACATTGATGCAATGCGCTCGACACAATAATAAGTATCTCGGAGAGTGGATGAAATTTATTTCGAATAATTTCATACATCGAAAATGTTTTAAAAAAATTGAGAAAATTTAAAATTATTCACGGGGTGGGAAATAATTCGCGCGAGAAACAAAAAAAAAAAAAAAAACAAAGATAATTTCCGTTTTCGGAATTATATCGTTTTCGAAATCAATAAGTCTCGTGGCAGGAATCTGAAGAATTTTTATGGCAAAGTCATTATCATTTGATAAATTATTGGGCTGCAATTTGAAAAAATTTAGACTTATAAATTCCTACTGTCGGCTGTCTGTCTGTCTTTCCTTAATCTCGAGAACGGAGTTAGTTAGATAAAACTCGAGACCAGATATAGAAACCTTAGGGGAGGAAACCCGGATTAATCATATACAAACTGGAAATCACGTTATGTCAACTGAAATATTTTCCTCCGAAAGGTGTTAGACCGACACGACTCTATTCTTAAAGGAAATGTGTGATGTACAGAAGCAAGCCGACACTAATTTGAGATGGAGAGCATATATTTTAAATGAAATAAATTAAAAGTATGATTAAAAATTGCAGTCTGGCATTGTGACTGTGTCACAATAAATAAATGTTCGTTATTTCTTTTTTTTATTTTAATTTTGATAGATGAATTATAGATGATGATTTTAAGATAACTTGCAGAATTTCGACTTACGAAAACAATGTATTTGTTTTCTAACGTACTGAATACTAATGAGTAAAACTAATTAAATATCGTATGTTGATATTAATTACATTTTTAATGCGTAATTAATCTCTACAGCTCATCAAAAATAGTTTTCTAAATGAACTTTAATGGTTATATCTTAAGAGTTTTTAACGTTGTGCTCTTTGTAATTAATACATCTTCCATTCTAGTCTATAATAGGCTCGAATAGAAGTTAACATCAGTATTTCTCATCAGAAATTATATGTAAATCGTTTTATTATGTAAGTAAACAGACGGCAATTAAATCAAAATGCATTATCTGGATATAGAAGATAAATATTTTAAAATTTATTGGCTCGATTTTCATCTATCTAACTTCATTCTCGAGACAAAAAGACTCGTTTCTCCTCCGTTTAATGGGAACGTTTTCAAATCATCTTAAAACGAAAAACTCCTAAATGTATAATCAATATTCTATAATTATGACTAAATGATTATTAAATTAATATTTAAACTTTTATTGCAGATAAAATTATTAGAAATGTTTAAAATTCAAACAAGTAGATAGGACTAATAAATTATAAAGTTAATAATAAAGATTTAAAAAATTATTGAGATTATTAAATATTTCGTGAAAATTCATTCGTAGATGCATTACAACGTTTTCTTTTTATAATTTATACGGATTTATTCATTATGATTATGCTCGCTTTTTATTTTAATGAATTACTTTTTGACGAAAACATTTAGTTAAAAATTCATCACACTTTTGTAATTAGAAACATGTCACGAACTATTAAATTAATTTCAAAAAAGGCCTTTTAGCGCACTTCATTTATCATTTTGTTATTTTTCCTCCAACTCATCATATTCACTGCCAAATTCTACAATTTTCAGTAAATTTAATGCCAAAAGAAAACATTTGTCTGAGTTAAGTTTAAAAAATGCATTAAATCTCAATTGGGCTTCAATTTTCAAATTGCTAACCTGTAAATTCCCATTATCGTTTGTCTGTCCGTCCGTTCAAGAACGAAGTTAGAAGAAAATCGAGACCAGTTATGAAAAGGTTATTTTAAATTAAAATGATTAAAAATTGCAGCCCAAATTTGATATTTACCTATGTTGACATCGTAAATCATGTTTCTTACTTCGACATATTTGTGATTGAGTAGGTTTTTCTTAAATTTAGATAATGCTGATTCATCTAAAAGCAAAATTTAATAATATATAAACATAAAGATAAAGATTTTTTTTGAAAGAAAGCATTGATCTTAAGAAATTTCACATTTAGTTATAAATTGTTATTGAAGTTTCCTTTACTTTTTTTTCAGCTGAAAGCTTTTTATGTGGATTTGTTGGTTCCTTTAGAAATAAATTTAGAAAAGGACGTAAAAATTGTCGCCGTAAGTATCCTTTTGCTTTTCTTACAAAAAAAAAAAAAAAAATGCCAAGTTAAAATTAAATAATAAAATTAGAAAAGTTTACTTGAAGTAGCTTCTGTTTTAATAATATTAATTTAAAATTTATCTCAAACGAGATTGGAGAAGAGAAGAATTATATTAAGAAATTAAAACAGAAGTTTGATTTCTTTTGTTTCTTCTTCTTTCTTTCCCGTTCAGAGCGAACAGAAAAAGTTCGTGCAACAACACAAACTGCAGCAGGAAGCTTATTTGAAAGCTCTTACTCTTTTTAAAAAACATAAAAAGAAAAGTCGAACATCGAAAGATGGTGTCGTCGATAAAGAAACAAAAGTATGTAATGAAACATTTTCTTTAATAAAATTACATTTTTCATTTTAAAGAAAGGCAATAACTTCTCTCTCATTCTCTCCCCCTCTTTTATTTTTTTTATACTAGCAACTTCAAACAGTGGAAGAAGAGAGAGCCAAACTAGACTGCTTCTGTGCACAAAGTCTTAAACAGGTGAGCATCCTAATCATCAATGACTTGATAAGAGTACGTAGACCCTGACAGGTAATTTGTCTTGGCGTAATTAAGGCCAGAAACTAAGTTGGTGTTGATTAATTCCTCTCGAGGATAGAGAATGAATGAAAGGGCACGTTCTAGAGTTAAAGGTGAAAGTTAGAAATGAATGAATTACATTGGTTCTTGTTCTTATACTGCTATAAATAATGTTTATCTATTGATGAAATCTGTTACATAAACTAAACATTTTTATCGCTTTAATTAGATAGAAACTTAAAATCAAATTTATATCTATCTACCACTAGAAAACACTTCTGTTTTTCTGATTAAATTTTATAAACAGTAGTCATCTATTTTACTTAAATTTATAGTTTTTAAAATATAATATAAATTATTTTACGTTATTATAGAGAGAACGTAGCGTTTGTATTTAAATTCAACCCTATATAAAATGTTGTTTTTTCCTTATTTAGCTTCTAAAAATGTTTATTTAAATTACATAAATTTAAAGGCAAATATATTTATCTTCAAACGAGTTTATTTTAAAAATTAAGAACGGTGAAGAAAAGTAATTCGAATGTCCTCTACTTTCTAATTAGCAAGTTTTTATTTTGAAGGCAATCACACAAGAGAGACGACGTTATGGCTTTATTTTAGAGAGGCAATGTTCACTAGCCAAACATTACTTAGCTTATCATACTAAGGTGAGTAACGGCCAACGTTTTCAATATTATCGCCATTAATTACAATTACGGAAATTGACTTTTTATTTTTATTTCAGGGCGAAGCACTGTTGACACACCAATTACATCAATGGCAAGAAGTTGTAAAGACAAGAGAAATTTTGCCCGATACCATGAATAAATTATTTCCGGTTCTTGCTCTCGATGCCAAAGTAATCTTTACATTAAATTATGTTTAAATTTATTTTATTATCTTTTGTAAAGTGTGGAATAATTTAAAAACTTTTCCCCCTATTTTACTTACTAAATATGGCCACCGGTCAAAAAAATGACCCTTCAAACGTTTTACATTTTTGGATTCGCTGGACCTTAATGTCTAGGAATGTCCCCCAAAATTGAGTTCCCCCTGTATGGATGTTTGTTTGTGGGGTATACTCCATTAGTAAGCCTTAACCAGGTCCTTTCTTTATCCACTTTTCCTTCAATTTTGTCCAGTAACTGTCCATGTAACGCCTTATTACGCCCAGCTGTCACCTCTAGCTTGTAGTATAGTTACGATTTTGTTCATTCGCTTTGATTTTCTAAAATTTTGCGGAGAGGTTTGTGTATTAGGTGTATTGATGCTATTAAATTTTGGTGGTTAAAGATCGAGGGAGTGGGGAGGTCGTTTGTCATATCTCGAGTGGAGACGGACTTAAAAAATTGTAAATTCTAATAAAGAATAAAATCTTATCAAACTTTTCTCTCTACCCTCAAAATTAAGTTTTTTGATATTTTGTAATAATTAATGATAATTAAAAAAAATAACATCTCGTAACAGATGGCACCACACACTGAAGTTTATTGCCGGGAAAGTTACACAACTCGTTGCTGTATTTTATTAAACATAAATATTGGATAACTTTCTGTACTTTTCCTATTCGCATTATTAAAATACCTGAATTATTATTATTGTTAATGAATTAAATTAATTAATTATAATAAGTTCTTTAGCCGTTGCTTATCATCTTACAGATAGAACAAAACTATCCATTGTGTAACTTACAAGTTACATCCGATCCCGAAGACGACGTTACATACGGAGTAAGAAAAACAAGAAGTATCGATGCAAGTTATCTCAATCTGCAAGAATTGCAGGAAACTTCGTACGCAAGACCACTTTCTAGAGCAAAATCCGATTTTAATCTACCCTCTTCCAGCGCTAGTCTCGTTTCTAGCGATTATGGTAAGTGAAGATGGAGGGGGAAATGGAGTTACATAAATTAATAAAAACATAATAAATTTTATCAATTTTAGGCACTCCCGTAAGACCAAAAAGCATCGTGGGGACTGATAACGAGAGAAAACAAAGAGTTAGAGCTGTTTACTCTTATCTATCGAGCGGTGAAAATCAATTGAGTTTTCACGAAGGAGATATTATTAGTCTGATTGGAGAAAGAAATAAGGGTTGGCAGTACGGAGAAAATTTAAGAAATCACAGGTAATTTAATAATAAATTTACTGTTCGCGTGTTCATTACGTTTGTTTCTCGTGTTCATTTACGGAAAATTACAGTTTAGTACTCTAAATTTAATAGGTTCGGTTGGTTTCCTATCGCTTATACAGAACACGAAGAAAATGATAAAACGGATAAAAACGAAAACAGGTAAATCCATTAAATAGTATAGAAAATTGACAAAGTTTACATTAACTTAACCATGCAAGATTTATTCTTGTTAAAGGACACTTATAGAAAGACGAGATAATAAGGATACATCCTCCTACTCCCCTTCTACACACAATCGACCATTTTCACAACGTCCCGTCAGTTTTAGTTTTGATTCTCGCTTAGTAGACATCGCTTCGGGATTGACAGTCCCTAAACAAAATCGTCCGCTTTCGACATTTGCCGATATACTGTTAACGAAGGTCGGAGATAATTCTAAAGTAAGTATTGGCGAGGGGGGAAAAGTAATATTTTTATTACAAAATTGTAAATTCCCTTCTAGTTTTTGCTTCAATTCGAATTAGTAATTTAGTGAGAAGAATAAAATTTCTCTTAATACAGCAGGATTCTAGCCCGAAGACCGATACAAGTCCCAGAACGAGTGGTCCTAGATGTAACAAATATATTGGAAAAGAAGATCCTATCAAGTTGCCTACTATTCTGCGAGTTCCCAGGAGATCAGCTACCTCTCCCGCTGTCGGTTTTCTGCCTTCCTTTCGTTGTCCTTTATCCACCAGTCTACATAGTAGCAGCGATAGTGGTTTCTGTAACGATAGTGGACACGGAAATCCTCTGTCAGAAGGATCGGAAGAAGAATCCAGGTAAATTATACTATCCCATTACTACAAACAGGAATAAATAACACGCAAAATTACAATAAATTAACTTAACTTATTCCAAAATATATCCACCCTCACAATTTCTCAATCACCACGCTTATATATATACAAGATTTGTAAAGTAAATCTTTACCGATTTGTCTATTTTCAGATCGATTACGATTCCTAACGAATAGTAAGTAGGACTATTTAGTGTGTAAAATAAAATATCTGTTCCGAAATTTGTCTATTTATTTAATTTCGTGGCATTTTTTTTCAATATTAACACGAAGAAATTAAAAATAATAATAATAATGTCCGTATGTATGTTCGACCGTTAACCGATCCTGGAGACTTGCCATTTTCTATTCGTGGAAAGTTACATAAAAAGTACTTTGTTGGTTTGCTTACGGGTCGAATCCTTGTAAGATATTTCATTGAAAAATTATATGTTTGCTCAAAAACGGACTCATCCATCATCAATCCATGAATGATCATCGAGGATCGAACCGTTAGGCGAAACGTGGAATGATATATAGTACCTAAAAGCAAACAACAAAATGCATCGTGTTAGGAATGTAAAGTATTCGGACGAAGATAGTCGAGTCTACTTTCTAGTCCTTCCTAAAGAGAGAAATTCCCAGGTTTTTTTGATCGATACGTTTTTTAATGCAAATTTTTATATTTAATATTAATATTTGATGTAATAACACGACCACCAAATAAAAAAACTGTTTTATTCTTCCCGTATAATAAAAAGCTTCTTCTCGTTTTTTTTTCCTCTTAGTTCTGTCGGAAAGCGAATAGTAAATTAAATCGAGAATCTATTACACGTATTTTTATTTTTTACGCATAATTTTTATCTTAATATCGAGCCATAGATTCTAGAATTTCATAAAAATCTACGAATATCCTATAGAGTTTAATCCGAATGTCAAGCGATTATTTAAAACAAAAATAAACATATTTTATCATTAAAAAAATCTGTCCAAGACACAATAAATTTGTAAACGTCATAAATCACGAAATTGTTACAATCCTGCATAAAGATATAATTAAATCATATTTGTCGAGTAACCCGATACTAAACGAATTAACTCTTAACAGTAATTATAATATCCCACTACAATTAAGTCTTTACAGTTGATACGGAATTCTAGAATCCTCTGTAAACCGACATTATCGCCATCTGTCGAGATACAATTAAACTAATTTCATATTCTAGAATAACGTCGTTACAGTTGAATCGAGGATACTAATTAGTTATTTATGCGAGAATTTTATAATTTGTTCAATTAATAAGTAACGTGATGATTTTTACTATTTATATTTTTACGTTGGTGTTCTATTTCTACTAAATCACTGAACGAAAACTATTTCCTCCCTTTGTACTGTACGTATTCCGGGCCTCCCCCCGTATGTATTTATTATTGCAAGTCCTAAACTTTTTCTATCAAGCGATCGACAACTTTTCACATATTACCATTATTTGGACAGTATATAACTTTTTCAAACTGTCTTCTTTAGCATTAAAATAAATATGATTCATAGACAAGAACATAAATGTAACACACAGGAAAAAACAAATTTTTAAATATATTCAAAGTTAAACTTGTTACTTAAAGAGTGTTCATAAAAATTTTTTAAATAAAAACTTATAAGCAAAATTTGAAAGTTGGAATGTCTTTCCATTAACTACTACGTAAAGACTATAGTGTTTTAAAATTATAGAACAACAATACAAATTTTTCACGTTTTACGTTCCTTTTTGACAGCATTCCTCATTATTCTCAAATGTTCCCACTATTCCCCATCCATCCTCAAAGGAATTAACAGAATGCTATTGTTACTTCACTCTTGTTACATCTCTAAGGCAGCCCGAACGGGAAATAAAATGGGTGTGTAGGCCTATGTAGCCCAGCAAATGTTCATTTGTTTGCAAACGCTTAAGAATAAAACTAATGACAATATATAAACAATACACGGTGTAATTTTATCGACTTATAATATGCCACTGTCGACTACTATTCAAATTTAACCCTAAGATATTACGTGACTTCCGGCCGGATTTGGAAGTCACGTAATGGAAATCTTAGGGGTCGGAGATCCCTAAACTTTCCATATCTAATCTAGATTTTAAGGGTTTCGCGCTCGTATACATCATACTTCTGAAAATAATAGAATCATGCGATCATATTCGTTTTCCAGAAAATTTGAAGTCATATGACTTCCGGTCCGGACCGGAAGTTCTGTGTGCACTTGAGGCTCCTTTCCATGTCCGGTCTCGATTTTCATCTATCTAACTCCGTTCTCCAGATTAACAAAGAACAAACAGATGGCAGTATGGGTCTGCAATTTGAAAACTGCAGCCGAATAATAATACAGTACTGTATGATGATGATTGATTAAACTTCCCATAGACCTACAGTTTTGTGGTGCCATCTGCCGACAACTTTACCAGCCAAAATTTCTATCTGGCAGTTGACTCACCCGTGCATGTTACACTACCGTTAACATTTTCTGTACTAATATTATAAAGAGGTAAAGTTTGTAAGCTTGGATGTAGGGGTAATCTCCGAAACTACTCATCCGATTTCAAAAATTTTTTCACCAATATTTAGAATGGAACTTCAGGATGGACATAGGCTGTACATTATTCCGTTAAACATTCATATAAATTAAAAGATATCATCTAGGATTAGGTTTTTTATGTCCAACAGATAGCGCTAACTCCGAGAATACGACCACCTAAGTTTGCTTTTGTGTTTAAGTTTCTGTGAGGATGAACTAAAGCATATCATCTATCTATCTATCTATATAAATAAAAATGTAATGTTCGTTTGTTCCTACGCATTTCTTTGAAATTTTGACACAACGTTGCATTCGAATACGCACGTGTTTTTATATAATATACATATCGAAATACTCCCACTGGGGGGAGATGGACAGGACAGATTTCTTCACGGCTTACCGTGAAGAACTTGGCTTCTATTATAGTATTTTAAATGCGGTTTTTTGCGTTTTTGATTGAGTTTTAATAGGGCACGTCAAGAGAATGTACACTAAAAAGGGATTTTTCGAAAAATTCCCCCTCCTCACGGGGAAGTGTTACACATTTATAATAGATACATTTTGAGCCACAACAACGCGTGGCGAGGTCTGCTACTTCTTAATACAACGTATCAATTTCGAAAGCTAGCAATTTACAGAAAATGAGTTATCTAAAGTTGAGGTTCCTAAGGGGTGTCGGCTTTAAAATGAATTCTTGCATCCCTATGAAAAACTTAAAAGGAGACAGGATGGCCCCGTGTTTTCACCTGTATCTTATCTGAACATTTTACGTTTATATAACGTATTTTACATTCTAGGTTATTGTTTATAACAGAAAGAATGACCATCGGTCGAAAAATGACTTCCCAAGATTTTTACATTTTTTTTTAATTCTGGAGGCTTTGAAAGTTCAGAAATTTAAACCATTTGAGGGTTTTTCTGTGTATGTATGTTAATGTGTGTGTGTGTGTACCACGTATGTGGGAGATATAAGTTTGTTCACCCTCTTTGAAGCTTAATAACCCATGCGCCCTTTGTCGAAAATTTCTGAAATTTTGTATATTAGGGGCATTGATACTATTAAATTTGTGGTTATATTAGGACTTGTAATCTTTTATGAAACTCGTCTCTACCCCGGAAATTATTATAAAATCAGAAGAAAAGCTTAATTAATTAATAATATAGGATTTTATTTTAAAAACTTTTTATAACGGCTGACGCCAAACACAATTTTAACTTTTTGCCTGGAAAGTTAGTTAACTCGTTGCTGAATTTTTTTTTTTTTTTATAAATACCCGATCATACATTTAAGTGTGCCAGTATCAAATTTAAGATCTTACTACTTTTTAATTTTGCCTCGGTTTAACAATCACTAACCTAATAACTTTTTCAGATGCAAAAAAAAAATCTCTTGTGTTAAATTGCAATAATCATTATTCCAAAAACATAGTTTTTGAACCAGCATTTGTTTCTTTTTTTCACAAGATAATTAAAAGTTCCGTGAACATCTAAATTTTTTGTAATATTTTAATTATTTTTCCTTGTGGAGTCCCTCAAAAATTCCAGCTGTGTGGTTCTGTATATGTGTCGCGAACCCTAAAATAAAAGCTGAAGAATAACTTGCCTGTTGTCATTTATTTAACTTCCATCGAGTCAAATTTCGAACATCGACGACACTGGGTACGTATTTTCCAAACGCAAGTCAAGTGTTCCTCGAATTTGACCATACTTGTTAAGTCAATTCAAAAAAAAAACGGTAACTGAAAATTCATACCCAGTTTTACCTTTCGAAATCTCGCCACTATTTTTTAAGCAATTGTTATCATTGTTACGATGTACATTGTCGTTTGCATTGTTGAAGGTTAAATGACGATTTTTACAATAAAAATGGGGATTTTAGGGGGTTGGAAAGGGGTTACGTCGTTGTCGACCAAATAAACTGGTTGACAATTGCGAGAAGCGTGTGTATGTGTAAAAAAAAAAAAAAAATTGACCGTCGGACTGGGGCACAGTCCGGTGCATCGTTTGTGTGTTTATATCTATTTTTGGTTTATTTGTGGTCGAAGGGGTTCTTCCAACGGGACAGTGGGCCCCAGGGTCGCCGATAAAGCGAAAAACCCAAAGGGGGCCCGTAGGGCGGCTCAAGAACGGGATATGACCCGGAGAGCGGCCCTGCTACCAAAGGGGCCTGCAGGGCGGAACCGGAATCCGTATCTTAAATCCGGATGTAATCGACCAACTGCGGGTTCAGCGCAGGGCGCCGGATCCGCCCAACGAGCAGGCAGTTGTCCCGGGAAACCCCCCCCCCGAGCAAAGTGGCTCGGATGCCCTGTTGCATTATAGAATCTATAGATTGTAAGCAACACCCAACGGGACAGTGGGCCCCAGGGTCGCCGATAAAGCGAAAATCCCAAAGGGGGCCCGTAGGGCGGCTCAAGAACGGGATATAGCCCGGAGAGCGGCCCTGCTACCAAAGGGGCCTGCAGGGCGGAACCGGAATCCGTATCTTAAATCCGGATGTAATCGACCAACTGCGGGTTCAGCGCAGGGCGCCGGATCCACCCTACGAGCAGGCAGTTGTCCCGTGAAACCCCCCCGCCGAGCAAAGTGGCTCGGACGTTCCGTGTTGCATTATAGATTGTCGGCAACAAGCATAAACTTTTCAATTGTTGATCTTCGGCTTTTATTAATAATTCTGCGCGTTTATTGCTGGTGTTTTACAACTCTGAACTGTATATTTAGAAATCGGCTTGTCGAATTTTGAAACATTTATTTCAGGTCTGTCTGCAACGTTTTCCTCCTACGAATTTCTTAAAAGTGTATCGTTTCTTCCATAAATCGTCTTAGATTTCAAATTTCTAGTAATATTTAAAACTGAGTCTTCAATTGACAATATTTGAAGAATAAATATAANCTTTTCTCTCTACCCTCAAAATTAAGTTTTTTGATATTTTGTAATAATTAATGATAATTAAAAAAAATAACATCTCGTAACAGATGGCACCACACACTGAAGTTTATTGCCGGGAAAGTTACACAACTCGTTGCTGTATTTTATTAAACATAAATATTGGATAACTTTCTGTACTTTTCCTATTCGCATTATTAAAATACCTGAATTATTATTATTGTTAATGAATTAAATTAATTAATTATAATAAGTTCTTTAGCCGTTGCTTATCATCTTACAGATAGAACAAAACTATCCATTGTGTAACTTACAAGTTACATCCGATCCCGAAGACGACGTTACATACGGAGTAAGAAAAACAAGAAGTATCGATGCAAGTTATCTCAATCTGCAAGAATTGCAGGAAACTTCGTACGCAAGACCACTTTCTAGAGCAAAATCCGATTTTAATCTACCCTCTTCCAGCGCTAGTCTCGTTTCTAGCGATTATGGTAAGTGAAGATGGAGGGGGAAATGGAGTTACATAAATTAATAAAAACATAATAAATTTTATCAATTTTAGGCACTCCCGTAAGACCAAAAAGTATCGTGGGGACTGATAACGAGAGAAAACAAAGAGTTAGAGCTGTTTACTCTTATCTATCGAGCGGTGAAAATCAATTGAGTTTTCACGAAGGAGATATTATTAGTCTGATTGGAGAAAGAAATAAGGGTTGGCAGTACGGAGAAAATTTAAGAAATCACAGGTAATTTAATAATAAATTTACTGTTCGCGTGTTCGTTACGTTTGTTTCTCGTGTTCATTTACGGAAAATTACAGTTTAGTACTCTAAATTTAATAGGTTCGGTTGGTTTCCTATCGCTTATACAGAACACGAAGAAAATGATAAAACGGATAAAAACGAAAACAGGTAAATCCATTAAATAGTATAGAAAATTGACAAAGTTTACATTAACTTAACCATGCAAGATTTATTCTTGTTAAAGGACACCAATTATAGAAAGACGAGATAATAAGGATACATCCTCCTACTCCCCTTCTACACACAATCGACCATTTTCACAACGTCCCGTCAGTTTTAGTTTTGATTCTCGCTTAGTAGACATCGCTTCGGGATTGACAGTCCCTAAACAAAATCGTCCGCTTTCGACATTTGCCGATATACTGTTAACGAAGGTCGGAGATAATTCTAAAGTAAGTATTGGCGAGGGGGGAAAAGTAATATTTTTATTACAAAATTGTAAATTCCCTTCTAGTTTTTGCTTCAATTCGAATTAGTAATTTAGTGAGAAGAATAAAATTTCTCTTAATACAGCAGGATTCTAGCCCGAAGACCGATACAAGTCCCAGAACGAGTGGTCCTAGATGTAACAAATATATTGGAAAAGAAGATCCTATCAAGTTGCCTACTATTCTGCGAGTTCCCAGGAGATCAGCTACCTCTCCCGCTGTCGGTTTTCTGCCTTCCTTTCGTTGTCCTTTATCCACCAGTCTACATAGTAGCAGCGATAGTGGTTTCTGTAACGATAGTGGACACGGAAATCCTCTGTCAGAAGGATCGGAAGAAGAATCCAGGTAAATTATACTATCCCATTACTACAAACAGGAATAAATAACACGCAAAATTACAATAAATTAACTTAACTTATTCCAAAATATATCCACCCTCACAATTTCTCAATCACCACGCTTATATATATACAAGATTTGTAAAGTAAATCTTTACCGATTTGTCTATTTTCAGATCGATTACGATTCCTAACGAATAGTAAGTAGGACTATTTAGTGTGTAAAATAAAATATCTGTCCCGAAATTTGTCTATTTATTTAATTTCGTGGCATTTTTTTTCAATATTAACACGAAGAAATTAAAAATAATAATAATAATGTCCGTATGTATGTTCGACCGTTAACCGATCCTGGAGACTTGCCATTTTCTATTCGTGGAAAGTTACATAAAAAGTACTTTGTTGGTTTGCTTACGGGTCGAATCCTTGTAAGATATTTCATTGAAAAATTATATGTTTGCTCAAAAACGGACTCATCCATCATCAATCCATGAATGATCATCGAGGATCGAACCGTTAGGCGAAACGTGGAATGATATATAGTACCTAAAAGCAAACAACAAAATGCATCGTGTTAGGAATGTAAAGTATTCGGACGAAGATAGTCGAGTCTACTTTCTAGTCCTTCCTAAAGAGAGAAATTCCCAGGTTTTTTTGATCGATACGTTTTTTAATGCAAATTTTTATATTTAATATTAATATTTGATGTAATAACACGACCACCAAATAAAAAAACTGTTTTATTCTTCCCGTATAATAAAAAGCTTCTTCTCGTTTTTTTTTCCTCTTAGTTCTGTCGGAAAGCGAATAGTAAATTAAATCGAGAATCTATTACACGTATTTTTATTTTTTACGCATAATTTTTATCTTAATATCGAGCCATAGATTCTAGAATTTCATAAAAATCTACGAATATCCTATAGAGTTTAATCCGAATGTCAAGCGATTATTTAAAACAAAAATAAACATATTTTATCATTAAAAAAATCTGTCCAAGACACAATAAATTTGTAAACGTCATAAATCACGAAATTGTTACAATCCTGCATAAAGATATAATTAAATCATATTTGTCGAGTAACCCGATACTAAACGAATTAACTCTTAACAGTAATTATAATATCCCACTACAATTAAGTCTTTACAGTTGATACGGAATTCTAGAATCCTCTGTAAACCGACATTATCGCCATCTGTCGAGATACAATTAAACTAATTTCATATTCTAGAATAACGTCGTTACAGTTGAATCGAGGATACTAATTAGTTATTTATGCGAGAATTTTATAATTTGTTCAATTAATAAGTAACGTGATGATTTTTACTATTTATATTTTTACGTTGGTGTTCTATTTCTACTAAATCACTGAACGAAAACTATTTCCTCCCTTTGTACTGTACGTATTCCGGGCCTCCCCCCGTATGTATTTATTATTGCAAGTCCTAAACTTTTTCTATCAAGCGATCGACAACTTTTCACATATTACCATTATTTGGACAGTATATAACTTTTTCAAACTGTCTTCTTTAGCATTAAAATAAATATGATTCATAGACAAGAACATAAATGTAACACACAGGAAAAAACAAATTTTTAAATATATTCAAAGTTAAACTTGTTACTTAAAGAGTGTTCATAAAAATTTTTTAAATAAAAACTTATAAGCAAAATTTGAAAGTTGGAATGTCTTTCCATTAACTACTACGTAAAGACTATAGTGTTTTAAAATTATAGAACAACAATACAAATTTTTCACGTTTTACGTTCCTTTTTGACAGCATTCCTCATTATTCTCAAATGTTCCCACTATTCCCCATCCATCCTCAAAGGAATTAACAGAATGCTATTGTTACTTCACTCTTGTTACATCTCTAAGGCAGCCCGAACGGGAAATAAAATGGGTGTGTAGGCCTATGTAGCCCAGCAAATGTTCATTTGTTTGCAAACGCTTAAGAATAAAACTAATGACAATATATAAACAATACACGGTGTAATTTTATCGACTTATAATATGCCACTGTCGACTACTATTCAAATTTAACCCTAAGATATTACGTGACTTCCGGCCGGATTTGGAAGTCACGTAATGGAAATCTTAGGGGTCGGAGATCCCTAAACTTTCCATATCTAATCTAGATTTTAAGGGTTTCGCGCTCGTATACATCATACTTCTGAAAATAATAGAATCATGCGATCATATTCGTTTTCCAGAAAATTTGAAGTCATATGACTTCCGGTCCGGACCGGAAGTTCTGTGTGCACTTGAGGCTCCTTTCCATGTCCGGTCTCGATTTTCATCTATCTAACTCCGTTCTCCAGATTAACAAAGAACAAACAGATGGCAGTATGGGTCTGCAATTTGAAAACTGCAGCCGAATAATAATACAGTACTGTATGATGATGATTGATTAAACTTCCCATAGACCTACAGTTTTGTGGTGCCATCTGCCGACAACTTTACCAGCCAAAATTTCTATCTGGCAGTTGACTCACCCGTGCATGTTACACTACCGTTAACATTTTCTGTACTAATATTATAAAGAGGTAAAGTTTGTAAGCTTGGATGTAGGGGTAATCTCCGAAACTACTCATCCGATTTCAAAAATTTTTTCACCAATATTTAGAATGGAACTTCAGGATGGACATAGGCTGTACATTATTCCGTTAAACATTCATATAAATTAAAAGATATCATCTAGGATTAGGTTTTTTATGTCCAACAGATAGCGCTAACTCCGAGAATACGACCACCTAAGTTTGCTTTTGTGTTTAAGTTTCTGTGAGGATGAACTAAAGCATATCATCTATCTATCTATCTATATAAATAAAAATGTAATGTTCGTTTGTTCCTACGCATTTCTTTGAAATTTTGACACAACGTTGCATTCGAATACGCACGTGTTTTTATATAATATACATATCGAAATACTCCCACTGGGGGGAGATGGACAGGACAGATTTCTTCACGGCTTACCGTGAAGAACTTGGCTTCTATTATAGTATTTTAAATGCGGTTTTTTGCGTTTTTGATTGAGTTTTAATAGGGCACGTCAAGAGAATGTACACTAAAAAGGGATTTTTCGAAAAATTCCCCCTCCTCACGGGGAAGTGTTACACATTTATAATAGATACATTTTGAGCCACAACAACGAGTGGCGAGGTCTGCTACTTCTTAATACAACGTATCCATTTCGAAAGCTAGCAATTTACAGAAAATGAGTTATCTAAAGTTGAGGTTCCTAAGGGGTGTCGGCTTTAAAATGAATTCTTGCATCCCTATGAAAAACTTAAAAGGAGACAGGATGGCCCCGTGTTTTCACCTGTATCTTATCTGAACATTTTACGTTTATATAACGTATTTTACATTCTAGGTTATTGTTTATAACAGAAAGAATGACCATCGGTCGAAAAATGACTTCCCAAGATTTTTACATTTTTTTTTAATTCTGGAGGCTTTGAAAGTTCAGAAATTTAAACCATTTGAGGGTTTTTCTGTGTATGTATGTTAATGTGTGTGTGTGTGTACCACGTATGTGGGAGATATAAGTTTGTTCACCCTCTTTGAAGCTTAATAACCCATGCGCCCTTTGTCGAAAATTTCTGAAATTTTGTATATTAGGGGCATTGATACTATTAAATTTGTGGTTATATTAGGACTTGTAATCTTTTATGAAACTCGTCTCTACCCCGGAAATTATTATAAAATCAGAAGAAAAGCTTAATTAATTAATAATATAGGATTTTATTTTAAAAACTTTTTATAACGGCTGACGCCAAACACAATTTTAACTTTTTGCCTGGAAAGTTAGTTAACTCGTTGCTGAATTTTTTTTTTTTTTTTTTTATAAATACCCGATCATACATTTAAGTGTGCCAGTATCAAATTTAAGATCTTACTACTTTTTAATTTTGCCTCGGTTTAACAATCACTAACCTAATAACTTTTTCAGATGCAAAAAAAAAAAATCTCTTGTGTTAAATTGCAATAATCATTATTCCAAAAACATAGTTTTTGAACCAGCATTTGTTTTTTTTTTCACAAGATAATTAAAAGTTCCGTGAACATCTAAATTTTTTGTAATATTTTAATTATTTTTCCTTGTGGAGTCCCTCAAAAATTCCAGCTGTGTGGTTCTGTATATGTGTCGCGAACCCTAAAATAAAAGCTGAAGAATAACTTGCCTGTTGTCATTTATTTAACTTCCATCGAGTCAAATTTCGAACATCGACGACACTGGGTACGTATTTTCCAAACGCAAGTCAAGTGTTCCTCGAATTTGACCATACTTGTTAAGTCAATTCAAAAAAAAAACGGTAACTGAAAATTCATACCCAGTTTTACCTTTCGAAATCTCGCCACTATTTTTTAAGCAATTGTTATCATTGTTACGATGTACATTGTCGTTTGCATTGTTGAAGGTTAAATGACGATTTTTACAATAAAAATGGGGATTTTAGGGGGTTGGAAAGGGGTTACGTCGTTGTCGACCAAATAAACTGGTTGACAATTGCGAGAAGCGTGTGTATGTGTAAAAAAAAAAAAAAATTTGACCGTCGGACTAGAACACAGTCCGGTGCATCGTTTGTGTGTTTATATCTATTTTTGGTTTATTTGTGGTCGAAGGGGTTCTTCCAACGGGACAGTGGGCCCCAGGGTCGCCGATAAAGCGAAAAACCCAAAGGGGGCCCGTAGGGCGGCTCAAGAACGGGATATGACCCGGAGAGCGACCCTGCTACCAAAGGGGCCTGCAGGGCGGAACCGGAATCCGTATCTTAAATCCGGATGTAATCGACCAACTGCGGGTTCAGCGCAGGGCGCCGGATCCGCCCAACGAGCAGGCAGTTGTCCCGTGAAATTCCCTTCCCGCCGAGCGCTCGGAAGTTTTGTTGCATTATAGATTGTCGGCAACAATCATAAACTTTTCCATTGTTGATCTTCGGCTTTTATTAATAATTCTGCGCGTTTATTGCTGGGGTGTTTTACAAATCTGAACTGTATATTTAGAAATCGGCTTGTCGAATTTTGAAACATTTATTTCAGGTCTGTCTGCAACGTTTTCCTCCTACGAATTTCTTAAAAGTGTATCGTTTCTTCCATAAATCGTCTTAGATTTCAAATTTCTAGTAATATTTAAAACTGAGTCTTCAATTGACAATATTTGAAGAATAAATATAAACTGGACAGAAATGATTATACCTTTTCTTATATCCATTAGATTTTTGAAAATACCTAATTTCGCTTCATCTTTGACTAATAAACATATCGCAAAACATATGTAACAAAACTAATTCCAGCACCTAGCACTATAGACTTATTACCTAGCGAACACTTGAATTAGTCTATAGTGCTGGTTTACCGCATTTTAAGTGAAGACAACGCCAGCAGTGATAAAATTAAGAAATTCTGAAATGCCAATTTTTAAGTTTTAAATGTAATTTTAAAAATTTGTCTATAGAAAAAATAATCATCCTAAATTTTTTATAGAAAAAATAATCATCCTAAATTTTTTTTAAAAAAAATTTATTTACCAAATTTCTCCTTAGACTCGGAAGTAATTTATAAATCTATGGTAAAAAATTCTAACTTGGCGACTTTGATTTGATGTTTGTTTTCAACTTTTTTCGCCATGTCTACGCGTTCCAAAAACAAACCCTCTAAGTGCCCATTGTGGGCACTTAGAGGGTTTGTTTTTGGAAACCCATTTTGGTTTAGGTTAGGCCCACAATGGGGCTGCCGGGTGGTGAGAAACGGGGGCCGACATATCGGAACGGACTACCCCCCCGAAAAATACATGGGGATTTTTGATCCGTTCGGATTCGAGCCCGGGTCCCCAGAGCGGTAGGCTGCCACCTTGACCGCTCGGCCATCCGGTGCAAGGCAAATCTGATTTAGCTGCGTTAAAGTTATTTTGAAACGGGTTATGTCCAAGGTTTTAGNAACTTGGCGACTTTGATTTGATGTTTGTTTTCAACTTTTTTCGCCATGTCTACGCGTTCCAAAAACAAACCCTCTAAGTGCCCACAATGGGCACTTAGAGGGTTTGTTTTTGGGTTTGTTTTTGTTGAAACCCATTTTGGTTTAGGCTAGGCCCACAATGGGGCTGCCGGATGGTGAGAGACGGGGGCCGACATATCGGAACGGACTACCCCCCGAAAAATATATGGGGATTTTTGATCCGTTCGGATTCGAGCCCGGGTCCCCAGAGCGGTAGGCTGCCACCTTGACCGCTCGGCCATCCGGTGCAAGGCAAATCTGATTTAGCTGCGTTAAAGTTATTTTGAAACGGGTTATGTCCAAGGTTTTAGACCTTGTGTTATGTCATTGGCTGGCTTGTCAAGATTTTCTAAATCGAATTTATTAGGCAACGTATTTAAGTTATTCTTTATAATTTACAAACTTTTATTAAAAGTGTAGTTATAACATTAATTTATAAAAAATAAAAAATAAGATTTATTTATTATAATTTGTTTTTTAATTGATTTTCCAACGCCAGGGGGCAAGAAATTTTCAAAACATTAACCAACGTGTGCTGGTAACTCATGAATGAATGCGTACAATTTCCAATTGAAAAAATAATATAGTAAATATACCTATTTTTCTCATAAATGGAATTTAAAATTGTATTTTTGTATCATAGTAAATTCATTCATAGTTCTTTAATGAATAATAAATGGAATTTCATAGAATTTTTTAAAATTTTATACCATAATTTCAGTTTATATGGATTTACAATGTAGCACCTGACACATGAACTTGAAAGGACGTTTTATTACTTGGACATTATAGGATGGAAATTGATGTGCTAATTCAGTGCTAATTATTTAAATTTAAAATTGCTAATTTTTAAGTTTTCTTAGAGTAAAAACTTAGAAAATTCTGGCCTATTACCAATAGTGGATCCAGAAATCTTTAGAGGAGGTATAGGAAGGAAACAGTATGCCGTACAAAATTTTTAGTATTTGAGGTAGCAGGCTTTGCTCGAGAAAATCCCTCAGAAGGGAGCATAACTGCACCTTGCCCACCCCCTTAAATCTACCCTATATATATCTTAAAAGGGCAATCATCAGAAGGCAATAAGAGAAATAAGTATTAAGAGATGTCACTATTGACTGGTATATTTTCTCCCAATCTTTATTTCTCTTATTGACTCACAATGATAACCATACAGGTTATCATTGTGAGTAAAAAATGCACAAGTAAAAAATGTAAAAAAGTACAAGTAAAAGTACCAGTAAAAAATGCACAAGTATGAAATTAAATTTGCCTGAGAATTTTCTTTAACAAGTATACTAGTGATTTTATCATTATTTTATTGAGAATTTTGAGAAATCCAAAAAACTATTTGGATTATGCAAGTTATGTTAAACCACAAATTTATAATAATAGATATATAACAATATGAAATCTAATTACTTGATAGATTAGATTTACAAATATAATCTTTTTTACATTTTTGAATGGATATCCATGTTGCCTATCAATGACTAAGTTGAAAAAAATCACTAAATGATAATATCGGGTTGTAACGTAAATTCTGTCTGATGTGCTGAAAACGCTGAAAATAAACCCTTCACAATAGTATGAGAACTGGACATAAGTAATATGACAGTTCAATAGCATTTGAAATAGCAGGAAAAGTGTTGAAGTTGGGAAAATGGGTGCTGCTTGATCTTTCACCAGCACAACTTCAACATTGTGTCAATGTGTGCATTTCATTGTATTCTCATTAACTCCAAGGCCTTTTTGTTTAGATGAAATCATTACTGGAGATGAAAAATGGATACAATATATTAAACATCATCATCAGTGGCTCAGTCATGGAGATAAATCAGTACCTCAGCTGAAAGTTATTTTTCATCAATGAAGTTGTTGCTTGGTGTTTGGTGGGATCTCTGTGTGATACATTTTGAGCTGATGGTAAGGAATGAAACCATCACAGCTGAAGTTTACTGTCAGTAAATGGACTGTTTGATGAAAGTGGTGTGAGAAAAATGCCTAGCAATAGTCAATAGATGATGTGTTTGATTCCATCAAGATAATGCTTATCCAGACACAGCTCTTATAACCTCTAAAAAATTGGAGGAAGTTGTCTGGGAAAAATTGATATATCACCATATTGTCTGGGTCTTGTTACTTCAGATTAACACTTATTTCAGTACTTACAAAATTATCTTAATGGAAAGAACTTCAATTCTTGGGAAGATTCTAAACCAAGAGAATTTTTCCAATGCTGTCAAAAAGTTGCCAGAAAGATGGCATGAAGTTATATCTAATAAGGGACAGTACATTTATGATTGAAAAATAAACTTTTTGTAAAAAAAAATTCAATAAAATTGTCAATTGTTTTGGACAAAATGTATGTTACAACCTGATAGTTATTGGTCACAAATTTGTGCCCAACCAATGGGCTAGCTGTATGGAGTTTTCCAGATTTCCTTCACATGTCTAACACCTAAATAGAGTCCAGTTTCTTGTACAAAGTTCTCCTGAGAGGCACCTTCCATGTTTATGAGTTATGTTCTTAATGGAGAAGAAAATAAAAGTAGACTAAGTAATTTCCCATACTGAATCTTGGCAATTCAGATTTTTTAGTAATCCAATAATCTTTTGGTCCCAAGCTTGTCAGTTTAGTAAGGTTATACTGTATTCAATTGAATAGTATTTTTTTCTGAGCCATTATAGATTTTCAACAGATCTCATAATACAATGTTTTTTTTAAAGTCAAGAGATGCCAGGTATTTCATTAAAGCAATTATGATTACTTATAAATTAAATTTTCCATTTTAAATTTAGCTAGTTATTTTGAATTGAGAGTAAATTCATATGTCCTCATGTACGGTACATTCTATAGGAGTAACTTCAATTTATTATTTGATGAAGCTGGATTGTTTCAAAGAGGATAATATAATTTGTCGTTAATGAACTTCAATAAAACATTACACGAAATTATATTCTTGTTGAATATTAAATAATAAGAATATTCTTTTATATTTCAGTGGCATCATTACCTCAAGGTTGGCATGGAATGTTAAATGTGCCAAAGAAATCAGATCATGTCCAAGCACCAAAAATTTCTCATATGACTTATCAAACATTACCAGCAATCAAAACTCTGCCAAATAAAAAGAATTATGTTTCAAATATTAAATCACCTTCTGTAATTTTAAACGGAACAATGAAAATAGATCATCGAAGTAATGTGACTCATTCACTGCCAAGTAAGTATAAAGGTATCTATAACCTGATGATGGCTGTTAAAGGCAGTTGAAAATGTTTGTTCTTGTAATAAATTGGTTTCTTATAAATGGATTACAGGTATTATTGTGTGTGTGATTATAGAAAACTCATCCAATTTTGTATCTTTATGTATAAATCTTCACAAAGAAAATCATCTGATTTTTTTATAAGTTTGTTTTATATTACTATTCTTATTATTATTTATGTTTTGTAAAAATTATTTACTAATGTTTGAAAGATTAAATCTTGAGATGGCTTCAAGTAAATTTTATTTTTTGAATCACTTTCTTTCAATTACAGCCATCGAGAGCTTGTATGAAATATGAGGATAAAGTGGATCCTTTTGTCTTTTTAAGTTTTCTCTGGGCCTGGAAAAAAATCTCTCCTCTCAACAGCTCCAATTCTAATGAATGAGAATTTAAATTGTATGAAATTCAAGATGATAATTATACTGATTTTATCCATGCCTTACTTTAGTTTTGCCTCAAAGAAGCAAGGATCTCTCTTCTACAAGATATTCTCTTGCTTCCGTAAAGAATGGAGTTGAAGAATGTTTAAACATTGAGCAATAGAAAGAATTGAATTTTAAAAAAAAATGAAAGATATCTAGCATTGAGGAAGTGCAGGAAATTTGTAGGAGACAGAGATCAAAAAGGAGGAAATCCAGAGGAAGCAGGATGATAGATTGATTCAAAGAAACGAAAGGGGAAGATTTAAGCATAGAAAAGGGAGAAGTTCAAGGAGAAGATACTATCTAAGAGCTGGTTGAGAGATAAACATAAGATGATTTTATTGTGCCTTATTCCATTCATTATTTTCATAAAATTTTCCTCTGTAAAAGTCAACTTATGCTGAACACAAATCTTTAGTCAATGCTGGAAACAATGCATAAGTTGCATCAGTAATATGTTATAATCAATAATAATTGAATACAATTGAAACACTGTTGAACTCATTTTGTTACTTTATTAATTGAAAACTATAAAAATAAAAAAATAATAATAATTATGTCATTATTCAAACAATGTATTATATCTTTTAATAATAATAATAATAATAATAATAAGTTGTCTAGTTATAAATATCTTTTTCAGATAGTGTTTTATATGATGATTGTTTTTTAGCTGGATGACTGAAGACATTAAGATATCAGTCTACCATTCTGAGGACCTGGGATTGAATCTAGTTGAGCAGCTACCCAGGAATTTTTTGGGGTGATTGGTCCTGAATATATTTGGCTCATTCCTCACCATCTGGCCATTCCATTGTGGGCCTGGCCTAACCCACAATGGGCATCGGGGAAAAAAGGCCTTCATAATACCCACAGAGTGGAAAGAGTCGTTAACATTATTGGAATGCTGATTTTTGGTTTAATTGAGAATTTCTTAACTTTACTGAACTGAATATTGAAGTTTTGTATACAATATTGCCAGAAACTCTTCCGGAGACCCCCAAAATCCGTAGGAATGAGATCTGGAGACCAAGTGTGATGGATTTCACAGGAGATTATGTGGTTGTCAAAGAAGTCTTCCAAAAACTAGTCCAGAATGTCTGTGAGCAGGTGATAACCCCACTACTTCAAAATAGAAATGTGGGACATATGACTTAAGGATCTCTTGTGCAATACCAAATGAATAAGTTTAATGTCATTACATATTTCTTATTGCATGATAACTTTTTGGACACACTGTTTATTGTTCTCAGATAGACTTTAAAAGTTTTAACATCTTGAAACTCATATAAGTTTAAATGCATAATTGATAACATGATTAATTTACACACATTTTGAGTCAAACTTTATTCTCAGTTACTTCTCTAGTTTAACGTAATGAGTAATGATACTTCTAGTTGTAATAAAAATTAGCAATTAGCCTAATTTTTATTAATGAAATAATGTAAATTAGTATATCTGGAATTAATTTTTACTTGGAATCATTTCTTGATAGTTAATTTATTATAATTTCAAAGTTTTATAAAAAAAAAATTATAGTGAAAAAATGCAGTTGAAAATGTGCAAAAATGAAATTTCTGATGTTAATAACAGTTTCAGTCAAAATACCAATATTCTACATTGACCTTTTTTTTTTAAATCCTTCCATCCTGTGGAGCCACTAAGAGAGACCTTTTGGATCTCCATTGTGAGGTTTCCACATTTTATTTGTCATTTGATGATGTCAAGTGACCTTTCAGCTTAAATGGTGGCCAGTTCATGACCTCACTATTTTCCAATGCATCTTGGTAAAAGGTGTCACATCACATGGATCCAGGCAGAGTGAGACTATACTCATTCATTGCTGAAAGTTTATTTATTGTAAATCCTATGTATACACTAGTCGCTGTGTTACTGTCTTGTAGAGAGAGAGAGAGAGAGAATACAGTCATATATTAAGTATCTTATAATTATCAAATGTTCTAGGGTGTTTGATAGTCATTCATGTTTGGTGGCAGTTTGATGTGTTCGTCTCGATACCATTGGATAGTCCACCTTTGCTTGTCTCTAGGCACTCATAACAGACACTTGTTCGTATTGAACTGTGTGAACTTTGGTCCATTTGTTTTTTTGTTGGTGCATCCAATGACTCTAGATTATCAGTCCATTTCCACCCAATCCTGGATGATTTATGATATTTGGATAATAAATAATCAGTCTTCATATGGGAATATATTTCATTTGTGGATTTTTAATAGATAATTGTTGATAGTTGATACCCCTTAGTTGTGTAATGCTACACTTTTCCCATGGCAGTGAGTGAAATTACTAACGATCTGTTTATGAAAAGTTTTGACTTGAAATTGAATCTGGGTCCCCAGAATGTCACGATCATCACTTCATCCGTCAAGCTATGGATATTTTACATTTATATAAATTTATATTGTTATATTTAGTCTATAATTGATTAAATGTGCTTTACTTATAATTACTTAACTGTTAGATTATATTTTAAAGAGAATTTTGATTTATATAATAGATCATACTTCATTTCCATTGAGAACTGTTCGAATGAAAACGGAAAATGTTGAATTGAATAACATTAAGAAGGTAAATTATTTTTTAAAAATAATTAAAATTTTTAGTTTTTTAATAATAATAATAATAATAATAATAAGTTGTCTAGTTATAAATATCTTTTTCAGATAGTGTTTTATATGATGATTGTTTTTTAGCTGGATGACTGAAGACATTAAGATATCAGTCTACCATTCTGAGGACCTGGGATTGAATCTAGTTGAGCAGCTACCCAGGAATTTTTTGGGGTGATTGGTCCTGAATATATTTGGCTCATTCCTCACCATCTGGCCATTCCATTGTGGGCCTGGCCTAACCCACAATGGGCATCGGGGAAAAAAGGCCTTCATAATACCCACAGAGTGGAAAGAGTCGTTAACATTATTGGAATGCTGATTTTTGGTTTAATTGAGAATTTCTTAACTTTACTGAACTGAATATTGAAGTTTTGTATACAATATTGCCAGAAACTCTTCCGGAGACCCCCAAAATCCGTAGGAATGAGATCTGGAGACCAAGTGTGATGGATTTCACAGGAGATTATGTGGTTGTCAAAGAAGTCTTCCAAAAACTAGTCCAGAATGTCTGTGAGCAGGTGATAACCCCACTACTTCAAAATAGAAATGTGGGACATATGACTTAAGGATCTCTTGTGCAATACCAAATGAATAAGTTTAATGTCATTACATATTTCTTATTGCATGATAACTTTTTGGACACACTGTTTATTGTTCTCAGATAGACTTTAAAAGTTTTAACATCTTGAAACTCATATAAGTTTAAATGCATAATTGATAACATGATTAATTTACACACATTTTGAGTCAAACTTTATTCTCAGTTACTTCTCTAGTTTAACGTAATGAGTAATGATACTTCTAGTTGTAATAAAAATTAGCAATTAGCCTAATTTTTATTAATGAAATAATGTAAATTAGTATATCTGGAATTAATTTTTACTTGGAATCATTTCTTGATAGTTAATTTATTATAATTTCAAAGTTTTATAAAAAAAAAATTATAGTGAAAAAATGCAGTTGAAAATGTGCAAAAATGAAGTTTCTGATGTTAATAACAGTTTCAGTCAAAATACCAATATTCTACATTGACCTTTTTTTTTTAAATCCTTCCATCCTGTGGAGCCACTAAGAGAGACCTTTTGGATCTCCATTGTGAGGTTTCCACATTTTATTTGTCATTTGATGATGTCAAGTGACCTTTCAGCTTAAATGGTGGCCAGTTCATGACCTCACTATTTTCCAATGCATCTTGGTAAAAGGTGTCACATCACATGGATCCAGGCAGAGTGAGACTATACTCATTCATTGCTGAAAGTTTATTTATTGTAAATCCTATGTATACACTAGTCGCTGTGTTACTGTCTTGTAGAGAGAGAGAGAGAGAGAATACAGTCATATATTAAGTATCTTATAATTATCAAATGTTCTAGGGTGTTTGATAGTCATTCATGTTTGGTGGCAGTTTGATGTGTTCGTCTCGATACCATTGGATAGTCCACCTTTGCTTGTCTCTAGGCACTCATAACAGACACTTGTTCGTATTGAACTGTGTGAACTTTGGTCCATTTGTTTTTTTGTTGGTGCATCCAATGACTCTAGATTATCAGTCCATTTCCACCCAATCCTGGATGATTTATGATATTTGGATAATAAATAATCAGTCTTCATATGGGAATATATTTCATTTGTGGATTTTTAATAGATAATTGTTGATAGTTGATACCCCTTAGTTGTGTAATGCTACACTTTTCCCATGGCAGTGAGTGAAATTACTAACGATCTGTTTATGAAAAGTTTTGACTTGAAATTGAATCTGGGTCCCCAGAATGTCACGATCATCACTTCATCCGTCAAGCTATGGATATTTTACATTTATATAAATTTATATTGTTATATTTAGTCTATAATTGATTAAATGTGCTTTACTTATAATTACTTAACTGTTAGATTATATTTTAAAGAGAATTTTGATTTATATAATAGATCATACTTCATTTCCATTGAGAACTGTTCGAATGAAAACGGAAAATGTTGAATTGAATAACATTAAGAAGGTAAATTATTTTTTAAAAATAATTAAAATTTTTAGTTTTTTAATAATAATAATTCATAAAATAAATGAATAATTTTATAATTAATATGAACATTTTTAGGAACTTTCTAAGGTAAAAGAAGAAAACAATATATTAAGGTGTAGGTTACGCAAAGTTGATGATGAAAATGGAAGGAAAACGAGAGAGATAGAAAAGTTACATGCAGAAATAAAAGTAATTACAATTTAATATTTATCTATCGTTAATATTTAACATAATTAATATTTACGCTAAAAAAAATAAGGAATTATATAATTCTAATTTTTACTCTTTCGTAGAATATGATGGAAAAGAAAAAAGAATCTCTAAATGTGAGTTTTAAATTAATAAATTTTAAATTTTACAGATTAAATTTATGTTAAAACCAAATGATTACCGAATTATATCGGACTATATTACTACTACTATTATTTATTAAATGCTATGTAATTTGGCACTAGAGGCAGGCATTAGGTGCCATCTCTTTTTAAATTTAATAATTATAATCAAATTAATATTTTAATAATCAATTTAGAAGGTTCTGAAAAAGAATTGGCCTAAAGCAGGACCTGAACTTTGATATAATTAAGTATGGTTATATCTAAATTATTGATAATAAGTTCAGGAAGCGAGGATTGACAAAGGTCCTGCTATAGTAACTGGCAATGTGACTGCACAGTTTGCAGGAGTTGTGGGTTTGAGACCTGCTTCAAGCTGATTCTTTTCTTCCAGAACCTTCTAAATTAATTATTAAAATATTTGTGACAATGTCGAAGGGCCTCCCTATTCTTTGGCACCACGTGATCGAAGGGTCGACATCGCATCAGTGAATATCGCAATGACAAGTTTCGTCAGGACTGACACCACTGTGTTTTCACGGCTAGACACAGAAACCGTTGTGTTCTCATGCGAGCGGTTGCGTGTGTGAGCGATCAGAGTCGAGATAGAAGGAGAGACAGCGCACTGGAAGTGACCTACTCATAGACGCTTTAACGTAACAACTGTTTAATGGTTAACGATAGGCTATACATTAGGGCTGCTGTTAGATACATTTCTTGATTTGATAAGTATTAGATATTAAGATATGACCCGATTTGAGAGAGAGAGTTTACAGAAGTTCGCGTGTCGATAATTACCTTGTATGAAATCCCAAAAGAAGACAGTTCTGGACTCAGAAGACAGAAGACAGTTCTTATTTCCACAGTTATTAGGCGAAGAAATATCCACAGGCGAGGAAATATCCAAACGCGAGGCACAGGGAAAACTCGAGTGGTCCGATAGAAAAACTGGTGACAACTCCCCCACTTTGTTGTCTGTTTTTCATGTTGGATTATTGAAACGGAGATATTAGGTCGAAAGGTGCTGAGAAAGCGTCGTTATTAAGCCTGAGAACTTAGCAGATGTTTAGCTCCCAGGTGTAAAAGTTGACAGTTATTGAATGAAAGTATAGCTACAATGTGAAATGATATAAACACACGAAAAGTCCGAATTCGGATCCTCACATATTAATTTAATTATATTAAATTTAGCAAGAGATCGCACCTTAACAATTGTTTTACTATATAACTATCATGTTTGGATGTTTATATTTGATTAAGTTTATGTATTTTTTAATAATTAAATCATTTGCTACTTCTTATCTTGATTATTTGTTATTTTCCATTGATTTCACTTATCATTAAATTATTTATTTTCAATTTCGAAAACTGTACTGCACATAATGGAGTGTTTTGATACAAAAAGTGACTATTTTAAGCAAAAATTCAATTATCCAGATATACTGTATATCTGAATGACCAAAGTCCCAATTAATTCAGATAACTGGAGTTTTACTGTATATATAACAGTGTTTCCTTTTTTAATTTAAATATGCATCATATTCTGAAACACTTTCAAAGAATTTTGAGACAGAAAAGCATCATAATAGCTTTGAGAACTTTATTTAAAAATTATTAAATATTTTTTTACATAATAACAGATTACATGCTAGTTAACCCAGCAGTGATCACTCTCGTTAATTGAATCCAAATAAATTATTTTTATTGCTTGAAATGTTTTAAATTTAAAATGTTTTTCTTGCAATCTGAAAAAAAGCAGTTTGCTATTTATTAATTTTAAATGATTTTTTCAAATTGTTTTACAATAAATAATTAATATGGGATGTCCAAAAAGTTACCGTGCAGTTAAACACATTTATTAAAATATTGCAGAAAAATTTCAGCAATGTTTTAATAAAAATGAAGTTTTACTTATGATATTGCAGTTTCTCGTATGGCAATTGCTATAAACTTGGATCTCACTTGCCAAAATCTGGGGAGCGATGTATGGAGAACTAGTGGTCTGGATTCTGTGGCAGATTATGTAATCTGCAAAGCAGTCTTCCACAAAAACTGTAGTCCAAAAAGCAGAATGTCCATGAATGAGCAGTTATGCCATCTACTGCAAAGTATGAGTGGAAATGCGGAATGTATGAGTTAAAGTTCTCACATGCAATGCTGTCACACAATGTCTCTACAAATTTCTCACTGCACAGTAACTGTTCAGACATCCTGTATTAGTCCATATTAGTGCATCTATTATTATAGAAACAATTTGAAAAATAAGTGATGTGATGCAGTGATTTTATTGGTATAATTAATTATTTTTCTTCTTACATGAAAAATATCATGGAAAGGATATTTAGGAATTAAGGATAGAAGATTTCTGGCCTGTTAAACAAATTAAAAATATTTGATTGGAAATTAAAAAGAACAAACAGTAATTTCTTAAAGCAATATGACCCAAATGATTAGTTATTATTATTTGTATATGATCACTGCCAGGTTAATTTACCAAACAATATTATCGGTTAATTGTATATATAAATTGTTTCAGAAAATTTCTACAAATTTTAGATTCTCTCTGAAAAATAAACAGAATGAAAATGAAGTTAAACCATCTCAAATTAATGGTAAGTAATAAACTATTATTTATTATCATAAGAATTTTTAAAAGTTAAAAGTTTAACTTTTTTATCAGGGAAAACAAATTGGAAAGAGAAAACTTTAAATTCAGAAATTTTGAGATTGAAAGATATAATAAACAAATTACAAGAAGGAAATAAAAAACTTATGAATCAACTGAAAGAAAAAGAGTAAGAATTTTCTTATAAATTTAAATTTTTTGCAAAACTCCATAACTAAGGTTTTATGCACTTGGGACAAACTAGTATTGCGTATCTCCAAAACAACGGGTACATTCCAATATGCATCAGTTTCAGCCACAACTGATGCACCAGAATGGTTTAATAAGCTTTTACCAGAACATCTAGCAACCTAGTAAAATGGCAGAAGTAAATGGCACTATATTGGCACTTGCAGACTTATTTTGTCAAAAAACTTTAGATTACTACAGACGAGTAGTAAGAATGGTGTTAATATAATTGTGAAAACAGTCATATTGTTTCATCAAAGCTTGCTGTATCCACATCCTGATAAGTATCATGTGCATTGGTTTCTGCATTGATGAATATCTGAATGCATTTTAATATGTTGCAGTTCACAGATATGCTGTTTGATGCATAATGGAATGTACCCAATAATAAACACTATTTTAATGACCTTAAATATATAAAGTTTAGAATATGAAATCAATTTTCATTCTCAAACATTCTGTGCCTTTAGAATTGCTACATCCAGATTAATGTCCCATTTGCCCTAGTCTTGTTATGGCAATGATTGCATGACGTACAGAGATTCTTAATTAATAGATTGATTCTATTTAACTGTATGATCAAGAACTGTTTTGCTGATACAAATTGCAGTTAATATAAACATATGGTATAAGTTGATTTTAATAAAATGTTTTATTATATTAAATCAAAACGTTTATTAAATAGGTTAAAAATAATATTTTTAAGCAAGAATGTGCACTTAAATCAACACCAACATAGTTTAAATGTTTAAAACTGTTGGATGCTGTTTGAACTTGTTATTCTTTAGATCTGTGTTTCTCAAACTTCTCAAACTCTTGCCCCATTTGGTGCATACATTTCTAATATATTGTTACTTTTCTTTGTTTTAAATGAATTTTTGTTCCCCTTCTCTTCCAACACCACCAACTGCTTCTTAACCTTTAGCACCTCCTTGGGTCTTCTACTGCTCTCGAGGGAGCCGTAGTGCCCACTTTGGGAATCGCTGCTTTAGATTTTCCATTAGAAGTAAGTGTATTTTGTTAGCTATAACTATTCAGACCATCAAATAGAATTTCACTAATAAATTGGATTCTGATTCCATTAACAGATCAAATGAAATAACCTGTAAATTTTAGAAAAATTAAAGAACTTTATGAAATTGTTTACAGAAAAAAACTAACAATATTAGAAATTTGAAGTTGTATTTTCTTATTGTCTGAGTAGCATTTTCTTATTATTTAAAATTTTAACTGCTGTTTAACTTCTCTCTCTCATGGATTGCTTTTTTTTTCATTGGTTCAGTTTTATGCATTTGTCTACATTTGGTAGAATCCAGAAATTAATTATATATATGCTCACCTTTAATCCAAAATCTTTTGTTTTCTGTTGTAAATTGAATTATATCAATGCAATATTCAAATGTTTTCAAATACAATTATTGTAAAATTTAATTGACTTCAAGCAATAATGAATTTTTAAAACAGTAATTTGATTTTTTTTTTTAGCCAAGAAATAAAGAGCTTGCGTCTTCAACTGGCAAAAGCGCCGGGAAGAAATTTACTAAACAGATTACAAACCAAAAATGAAGGTGAGGTGAAATCAACACGCGACACTGTCAGGAATAGACCTCAGAATATTTCTAATATTAAGCTTGAAAAAATTAGGCCAGTTGTAACTAATAACCTTAAAGGTAAATAAATAATTGAAAAAAAAAAATAATAATAATTTTTATAAAAATTAGTTTTAGCCTTTCGGACAAAAATTTTAATAAGTATATTTAGTTTTTATTAAATATTTACTCTAAAAAAAAGCAAAAGATGTTTATCTTTACAAACAGTACAAATTCTATTTGTAATATATTTTTACTTAATAACTGTACATGCGTGTAAATTGATATTTTAATATATTGAAGTATTTTTATCTCAAAGTTGTACTAATCAGATATTTTAAAAACCATCTAACTTAATTATAACATACAACAATTATAATTTTTAATGGAAACTAAGGTAAAAAATGATGCATCTCCAATGAATATCCTTACATAATTTAAGTTTGTATAGCTTACTAATTGAAGTGACTGATTATCAGTATTTCTGAAATATTTCAGACATTACTTCTAAGGATAAATATAATAATGCATCAGTCTGATTCCCTATAGTTATATACAGTATATGTTATATATACAGTGTGTCTCCCTCAATTTCCCTAGTTTAAACTGTTTTGTAAAATCCATTTGTTCATATATGTGAATAAAATGTGTTAGAGAATGGGTCAATACTCCAAATTTCACATGCATATACTTGAATGGGTTGCTGCTGCTTAGTCTAGATTATGGGGCCTTATTTCTTGGTCCACCCGATCACATGACATCATCTTTGAAGTTTTTTCTTTATGGGCATGTCAAGGATCTTGTGTATGCTACAAAAGTGCTAGACATGAGAGCACCACATACAAAGATTACAAATGCCTGTAATGGCATGACTCCTGACATACTACCTCAGATGCGGGCAAAAATTAAGTGCCGATTGGATATATGTCAAGAGCATGTGTGGAAATGTACTGTTTAATGTAGTAATGCGATTTAATGTTTTTATTACCATTGTCTATGGTATTATACTCGCACTTCTTTTTCCAAAATTAATCCACAAAACTAGGGACATTCAAGGGGAACACCCTGTATAATATTAATACATTGTGTAAAATGTAATGTTAACTGATGTTTAAATGATGAAATGACCCAAGATATCATTTTATCATTTAAAGAAACTTGAGTTGGCTCATAAGTCAAATCAGATAGAATATTTTAATAGTCATTATAAAGTTATAATCTATTATTATTGTTACTTAATATTTTTCATATTTGTTGTGATATTTATTGAACTGAAAGTATTGATCTCTTCCTTGTTATCATGTGCCAAATGTTAATCTGAATTAAAAATAATCATTCCCGAGAAAATAATCAAAAACTGCCAATACGGATTGGTGGGTTTTTGATCCTGGAAGAGTCGTAGTATTATAATGTCGTGTCTTTCTATGTGCTAAAAGTTTTGTCAACCAAAACAAATGCTGTCTTAAGTACCTGTTTATATATAAAGTTATCAATAACTTATGGTTATATAAATAAAATAAACATTGTTTTATCATTCAGATATTGAATTTTTTTAGCTAAGAATTAGATGATGATAAGCGATACAAAATGAGAAATAATATAATTATTTTCAATTGTTTCTCTAAAACACTGCTAAAAGTTTGTATACAGACAGAATAGGCATATTGGAACAAAGTTAAAATATAATTGTAATATTTAATTAATATTTAAAGATGAGATAAAGATAAATTTAAGATAAATATTATGATCATCATCATCATTATATATTAATGCTATATGTAAGCATTCAACAAAATTTGTGAAGTAATTATTTTCAAACAGTGTTTGTTTTTTCATATGACTCAATCAAATATCATTAATGTATACAGTAACATTACAAACAAGACTCAATAGAGGAGCCCGAAGTACAAAATTGTTAATTAAAATTATTAAGTAAAGGAAACATTATTGATATTCTAATAGATAAATTATGTTTTAACTCTACCATAAGTTGAAATCCATTTATGCAATGTGAAAAAATTTAAATTATACACTATAACTTGTAACAGCTAATTCAAGTTTATAATTAAAGTAATGGAGGTCAAGTGTAAAAACTGAGATAAATATAATAATACAAGTATGTGTTGCTTAACAATGGAGTTACCATAATATTATAATGGAGCTGAAAAATTTATAGATGTCTGTATCTCTTCTATGTTTAGATAAGTTTAGATACATAAATACTTATCATTGTATTACAGTTGTGTTATATATTCAGTAGAGCATCAGTTATCCGAAAGTCAATCATCCGAAACGTCAATTATCCGAAAGAATTCCAGTCGGCAAATTTAAATTTTCGCTAGTGCTGTGGCGCTTCAATATTTGGCTATGTCTTGGGCTACTCAAATATTTTACGTTTTTGATATTAAATTAACATCTGAAGTATAATTTTTTATTGTTTTTATATTTTTCAATATATTTATTTTGTTCGTACAAAATAAAAAAATTATTTTTAACGATACAATAGTCTTTGTTAGGCTTAACGTCGACGAAAATTCAACGCGAAGCGACACGCAACAATGAAAAATTTTAACATCGGATAGGTTAAAATAATCGGTTATCCGAAATATCAGTTATCCGAACAACTCCAGTTCCCAATTGATTCGGATAATCGACGCTCTACTGTAGTCTATATGAGTAGTAGACTATGCCATATAAGGTTTGCTTTTTTTTTTTTTTTTTTCTTTCCATCCTGTGGGCACTAAGAGGGCCTTTTTTGGCAAGCCCATTATGGGTTTGGTCAGGTCCACAGTGAATGGCTGGGTGGTGAGGGACGGGCCACTTCTTGGAAAATTCCTGGAGTTTAATCAATTGGGTTAATGATGATTACATTTGAGAAACTGTAGTCTATATGAGTAGTTGAATATGCCATAATAAGGTTTTTTTTTTTTTTTTTTTTTTCTTTCCATCCTGTGGGCACTAAGAGGGCCTTTTTTGGCAAGCCCATTATGGGTTTGGTCAGGTCCACAGTGAATGGCTGGGTGGTGAGGGACGGGCCACTTCTTGGAAAATTCCTGGAGTTTAATCAACTCGTCCAGATTCGATCCCAGGTCCTCAGAGCAGTAGGTTGCCACCCTAAATGCTTGGCCATAAGGTTTGTCTAAGTACTGTACATTATGATATTTGTTTAGCAACCTATTTCTTGAAATGTATCCCCATTGTTAAGCAATGTATACCTGTATACTATTTTTTATTTGATAATTGATATTTTTTGGTAAAATAAAGAGAATTATACAATTAATTAATTAAATATAATATAGAGAAACTGAAGAATATGTAAATATTAATATATATATAAATTGTGGTAATCAAGAAAGTGCCAAAAATTAAATTTCTGTTATATTTTCGGTAAAACTTCTAATTTAGCAAACTTATTAACTGATACATATTTTTTACTATTACTAATAAAAATAATAAATAATATGATTATTTAATGTGTAACTTCCTTCTCAATTACTGTCACGTTTGATATAACCAGGGCTGTGGAGTCGGAGTCAGAGTCGTGGAGTTTAGGTGTTTTAGCCAGAGTCGAAGTCGTTAAAAAATCTGCTGACTCTGACTCCTTTTTACTTACCAACTTGTTATGTATATAAAACGGAAAAATATTGGAATCATGTCAAATTTGACCCTCCAAGATTTTTTTTGCAAATCTACATGTTTGGAGACCTCCCAAACCCCTCAAAAAAGTCAATAAAGGGGAAAAATTTGTGCGTGTGTGTGTGTTGGCATTTAATTTGTTTAATTTTTTTATTTTCTGTTCTGAGATATTAAACAATATCTCAGAATAGGTAAAGTTTAAGAAATGAAATGTGGCACTGTAGCTCGCGTATAAAGGGGCATTAATACTATTAAATTTTGGTTCTTAATTAAAGGTCAACAGGGTGAAGGCATAAAAGGGGTCATGTGTCATATCTCTTAATGAATATTTTACTCGTTATTAGAGAGGTTGAGGCGCACGTTTTAAATGTGTAAACGTGTACGTGTGATGTCTGGCGCCGCTTTCCTGTAAGCCTAAAAGTTTGACGATGGTGTTTGGAATGTCGAGCGTGATTCCACCGACTATCCAAACTCCATTGTCAAACTTTTAGGCTTATGGGAAAGCAGCGGCGAACGTCACACGTACACGTTTACACGTTTAAAACGTGCGCCTCAACCTCTCTATTAGCGTTCAAAATTTTAAAAAATAAAATAAAACTCGCCTTTACCCTCAAAGTAAGCTTTTTTGCCATTTTATAATAGTACAGTAAAATGATGCAAAAACTTAAAGAAAAACAGCCTAAATTGGTCAATAGATCAACTCCTATCTTATTGCATGATAACGCTAGACTGCACATTGCACAAATGACTGTGGCAATATATACTACAGGATACAATATATATACTGCACTATACACTACAGGAATTGGAGTCGGAACTTCATCATCCTCCATACTCACCAGACCTAGCCCTACTGACTACCACTTCTTCTGCAATTTGGACAACTTTTTAATAGGAAAACAATTTAATTCTGACAATGCTGTAAAATTGGCCTTCCAGGAATTCATTGACTCTTGTCCGCCAGGGTTTTATACCACCGGTCTGCCGCTTAAATGGCAAAAGTGTATAGACAATATGAGTGCATACTTTGATGAATAAAATAATTCCTTATATTTGTAAGTTATTAACCAACTTGCCTTTTTTTCTGCGAATTTCATTCTTGATGACCTGATACATAATTTGGCAGATTGTTGTTTATTACCTATGTGGGCTATTCTTAAAATTTTTTTGATTTTTAAGAATAAGATTAAGAGCAACATTGACAATTTTGGACAAGTTTTGATAGATTTGTTGTCCCTTAATTTCAGAAATTCAATAACAGTACTCCATTAATTAGAGTATAACTCGAAAGTTATTAGTTTAAAATTTACAAAATTGGTAAAGAATGTATTTATAATTTTTTAATTTATACATCTATTTCTGCACTATACACTGAAAAAGAATTATTTAAAGAGTTATATTATTGTATGAATTGTTTTTATTTGTTGTGCTTATGAAAAAGTAAATAAATAAATGTTTTATTTTTATTAATTTTTATATCACATTCATTTAAAATACTGTAATTAAATTAAAATAGAAATTTTGCAGATTTTCAATTCATTGTTGAACAATTAGAAGTTGAGTTATTAGAGTAAACTTCAAAATACACAAATCAAGAAAGAATTACAGTTGCTTTTACGTACATTACATATGCATTTTAAATTGCATTGCTTTTCAAATTATTGCTTAAAGTTTAGAAATACATCACAGTAAAAGACACTAGAGTTTAACTTTTAGAAATACAGTAGTAGTACATAGCATATATATATATATATATATATATAATATAGATATATATTTGGTTCTCCATCATTTAGTGATACCATTGCAGATTTTGGCTAGGTTCACAACACAGTGACTGTCTCGCAAGGGAGGAGCCTGACAAATCTGGGTCAGGCTGCCCAACAAAAATTCCTGGGGATTGTTTACCTGGATTTGATCCTGGATCCTCAGAGTGGTAAGTTAATGTCTTAATGTTTATCCAGCTGTCAGAATAAGGAAACAGGAACTCACATCATGCTTCTCTCAATAACGTTTTTGTTCAAGTCAGTCAGTTATTTTTGAGGTGAGAGATGAGGCCCTGCAAGGGAGCATATTTGGCCATGGTCCTTCTTATATGTTTATTGAATATGTCAATTTAGTTATTGAGGTCCTAGTTACATATGCTTAATATATTTTTAGCACTAAGAGACTTTTTTAAATAAAAAAGTAATAATTTATAATAAATAACTTATAAAATTTGTTAATAAATTTGGCTTTTTTTTTTATAAATTCAATTAGTAGTTATATTTTATTTAAAATTTTAAAAATGAGTAAAATAATTACATTAATAACAAAAATGAATTTTGTAGGAAGTTAATGAATATTATTTTTTTTTATAAAATGTTTAAAATTCTGTTATATAAAACAATTTCTTCATTCTTAGTATAATTTTTTGGATATAATTTATTTAGAATAGTGTCATATTTAACTTTCTGGGAACTTCCATATTAATATTGCTCCATCTACACTCGTACTCACAATATATTTTCCATCTGGCGAAACTCTAACCTTTGTAATTGTCGAGCAATGTCCACATCCAACGTGAGAAATCGTACCTTCTTGGTATTTCCACACCTATTTTTTATTGAATAAAAATGTAGCATTAGAGATATCCAATTTGACATTGGCTAAATAAAATATATTTTTTAAATAAAATCACTATTCTAGGATGAATGTGTGAATAAAAATAAATTATTTTTATAATAAATTTTATATAGGGTATCCAAAAAGTTACTGTGCAGTGACAGATTTGTAATGACATATTAAAGTTATACATATGACATTGCATAAGAGACCTGTAAGTTGTATATCCCACATTTTCACTTAGATAGCATTACTACTTACTCACAGATGTTCTAGTTTTTGGAAGACTTCTTTTCCAATTGCATAATCTCCCATGGAATCTGACCTGCAAGGTCTCCATACTCCCACTTCCTGAATTTTGGAGTCTCTGGGAGGACATTTCTGGCATTAGCTGCTGTAGGAGAAACTACAATATCGTACCTAAAACTTTACTTAAACTTTTTCCACTGTGCATTAACTTTTCAGACACCCTGTATGATCACAAATATTCCAAAATCTTAGATATTGGAACAGATATCTGCAGTACTGTAAGGTAATGGTATGCAAATGCTCCAAAGAGAGGGCATGAAACTCTTATAGAGGTGGAGAATTTTCCCCTCTTTGAATTAAAATTGGTGCTAGTTTAAGACACGGGTGAAGTTGGCAATTACCAACATGTACTGTCAGGAAGTTTCTAAGTACTGCTGGGAATACAACCAGTAAAGATAAACAGAATGCCATCAATGAGCAGAGATGCCTTTCTGTCTTTAGAATAGTCTGATTGTGCAATGAGTTGACACTTGGTCTACCTAAAGCCCTAATGTGTGGACCAAAACTTACTAATTAGCAGCTTATCATTTATTTTCAGAAAAATTTAATATTCCTATTATATTCATACCAACATTGAAACATTTTTTGTTTGTAAGAATTGGGAGGAAACAATAATATTGAAGTAGCTCTAAAGGAGATGTAACTAAAAAAGTTGGCACACTTTTGCATTAGGAAATCTCTTCCAAGAAATTAATATATAATAAAAGTAAATTATGTAGAAATAAGTTGTGCAAAGATACACTAATATACAAATAATCTAGATGTTAGTATGGATCTTTAAATAAAAATTCTTCTGATTCCTAAATGAATATAACTTACATGACAGTTATTATTTGTTTACAATTAATAGAAATGATTCTAATGAAAAAACAGAATTTTGCATAAATATAAAAGTAAATTTGTTATTTGTACTATGAATGAACTACAAATGTATTAGACAGGCTTTTTAAAAGAATGAGGTGTTAAAAAAGTTCTCTTTGTAATGTAGTTTATTAATTTTTATAATATATAAGTTGGAACAGTTTCCAAATTATTAAACTTACACACTTATTTAACAAGTGATTCCATGCACGGAAAGCTAGAACTTCTTTAAATAATTTTCACAAAACCTTTTTACACATTTTCTAGCAGTTTCTTGAGAGAACAAACGTTTTTGGCCATGTTTAATGGCTTTCTTCAGGTTCTATAGCATTGTCAGTTAACAAAAATTCGAAAGGTGTTATTGTTTATAGAAAGTTTCCTATTTCTTATTATGTCATTGTTCTCAAGAAACTGCTAGAAAATGTGTAAAAAGGTTTTGTGAAACTTATTTGACAATTGATTTCAAATAAACATATTCCAAATAAACACAATCAGTAATGTCAAAGATGACAATACAGAAATAGTTAACATTTATGAAATGATGATAAACAATGAAACTGTTGACTTAGTTTATTAATATTTCTGTAATCTTGATGAAATAGTTATATAGTTTATATAAGACTTCTTTATTGACATTATTTCTGATCGTTCTAAATTCAAGGAGTGAACCGCAATGGAATGTCTGTTTAACATCAAGTGAATCATGCAAACTTGCTAAACCTTGACAGTTCTGTAATAGATGATAAATCGAGACTCTCTCAGAATCACACCAAATGCATTGAGTATTTGAAAATTTAATATAACTGTTATTGATGAAAATAGAATATTTATTAAGACGTAATTGAGCTATTAATCTTTTCATGTTGAAATTAATTGATTTAGTCATATACTGTTGTGAAGATGGAATATGTAGTAAATTTATATACCAGGGCTGATATTTACTATGATTTAAACTTGTTTGATTCTTAAATAAAATTGCCAGGACATATATGACATTTATAGAAAAAAATATATATTTTCCTTTGACTATACATACAGAGATGAGTCTTAATTCATTTTTTGTCCTTTCACATGCTGTACAAAGCAATAACGATTCCATTGGCGAAGTCGACCTTTCTTTGTAGGCTACCATTCGCCAAAAAATGTAAAATAGTTACAAAAGTCCTCTAGAGGTAGCACAGCAAAATTAAAAATAATAATTACATTAAATAAAATTGCCAGGACATGTATGACATTTATACAAAAAAAATATATTTTCTTTTTGGAACTTAGTTTGCCAGAGCTGGTCTAATCTTGAATATTTACTTTTTTTGATTATTTCCTGATGTAAAAAAGTTGTTATTGTTGCTTTTGAATTTCAGACGGTAGTAGAATTTTATTATTCATTTAAGGAAAAAAGGAAAAGACAATATGTGGTTGGTTTCATGACATATGGCTTAGCTGAGAATAGACCTTTCTAAATGGAGCAGTTTGCAAAGAAAATAAATATGAAAATATTCCAGTTTATACAGATAATCAAGGCCCCAAATTGGACTTGCATAATATATGATTGGGTTAATTATTGAGTTATAGAGCTTCATATGAATGTTCAGATTTGATATTTTTCAAAATTGAACATAAAAACAACAAATTGTCAATTGCCTGTTTCTCTTTGTTATTAATAGTAGTGATATGTGCTTTGAAGGTGATGTTCCAATCAAATGTGACTCCTAAAAAATTGACTTCTTTAACTGTTTGTAGAATATTATTTACATACAACTTTGATTCTTTTTGTGAAATTTTACTGTTGTTACAAAATATAATAATCTTTGTTTTAGCAGGATTTATTGTTAAATGGATCGATTTTAGATATAAATTTAATTGATTTATTTTCCTTTGTAGAGAGATTTTAGAAGGTGCAAGAATAACCAAGTCATTAGCAAATTGAACATAATGAAAAACTCCATCAGCAACCTCAATCCCATCACTGGATTGGAGGAAAAGGTGGTCTATATCAAATAAAGATTAAATAAATAAGGCAAAAGGGAATCATCCTGAAGTATACCTCGTGACAGGACTTATGATGGAGAAATGGTGTTTCCCTGTTTAATTTTTATATATTTTGAAAACAGTTTTAGTATTGTTTGCCTACACCTTTTGTCCTCAAATTATATACCAGTAGGGGAACGTAGACCGAGTCAAAGGCTTTCTTAATGTTTATAAATGATGCATATATCAGGTCAGTCCATAAGTTCCTGCGTATTTTATGACATTGAGAAAAATCTTGTTTTGCTGTTAAAAATGCCAGTCTAATGTGATACTTTTTACACTGAAGTGTTAAATTGGATCTCATTCATATAATACTGTTCAGAATTGGGAACATTTCAGTTGTTTATTTTCGTTAAAATGGAAGTAACAGATGAATATAAGAGACATGTTTTATACTTTTTATTTTTAAGTGATGAGAATGCTACAAATGCAGCCAAAAATTAAATACTGTTCATAATCAAACTGTAATTAGTGTAAGGACTGCGCAGAAGTGGTTTGAAAGATTTAGAAATAATGATTTTAGTGTGGAGGATAAGGCTCGTACTGGAAGACCTGTTGACTTTGATGATGATGCTCTCTCTGCACTAGTTGAAGCAGAACCATCTTTAACAGTTGAGGAAATTGCAAAACGTTTAAATTCATCCCATGGAACTGTTCATAGACATCTACCACAAGTCGGAAAAGTTTCAAAGCTAGGAAAATGGATACCACATGAACTGTCAATAGCTAACTGACAACAACGTCAACTGCTCAACTCAAAAGCTTCAACTGGGAAATTTTACCTCATCCACCATATTTGCCAGATATTGCTCCCAGTGATTATCATCTTTTTCGGAGTTTGCAGAATTTTTTAAAAGGAAAAACTTTTGAGGATGAGAACAATGTAAAAAAGGCTATTTCTGAATATTTTGATTCAAAACCGAAATCATTTTACAAAGACGGGATTAAAAAGCTACCATCAAGATGGCAAGAAATTGTACAAAATAATAGTGAATACATTATAGATTGAAATAAGATTTAATTAAAATTTTTTGTTGCTTTTTTTAGATAAAAATGTGCATGAACTTATGGACTGACCTGATACTTTCCTATGTTTTATTGTTAGGTGTAGTTGTATTATAGACGGTAATATAGAAAGATTGCAAATCTTTCTATATTACCGTCTGTAATACAACTACATTTTCTTGATGTAGGCATATTCTTGATGTCCCTTATTCTTGATGTAGGCATATTGAAATTTAGCATTTAGGTCCATTTCTTTTGTCCATTGTCGAAAATTAGTGGCTAACACTGTCATGAAGTATTTTCTCGGTATTGAAAGCAAAGCAATGGGTCTATAGTTATTTGGAGAAAGGCGATCACCTTTTTTGTATATCATTGTAATTATAGCAGAATTACAGGAGTCAGGATATAAAGCTACTTTGTACATTGAATTAAATAATTTTAATAGTTTTAATCTTGCCTGATGAGGAAGCATCTTCAGAAACCCGGCCGGAATATTGTCACTACCCTGGGTTGATTTAATTCTGGTTTTGTTAATAGCGTCTTCTAAATCCCTAATTGTAAAGTAGGAGTCTAAATGTTCATTGTAAGAATCAGTATTAAATCTTATTGGTGAAATAAGTTGAATATTTGGGAACCACTGATAAAAACTTTTCCATACATTATAATCTATTACTGATGAGTTTTCGCTTAGATTTATATTGAAGTAAAATTTTCGTATTGTGGTCCAAAATAAATTACTATCCTTTGTTGTGGTCGCGATCTACTTCTTGTTAAGCCGTAACAGTTACGAGCTATTTCGTGTATATATATTAGTCGCGGACCACTTACTATAAAGTGGTAAAAGGGCCGGAGTAGTAGCATAGGAAGATTGGAAGACCTAACACACTTCCGGACTAGCTGTCTTAGCACCCGGCTGCATGTAGCTATGCTCCACGTTTTGTACGACTGCTTATGACCCAAGTAAAATTTAAATTGGAGTTAATCATTTTTATCTCTGAATAAATGTTTTGTTTTTTTAATATTGATACATCGTGTCAATCAATTAATTATTATACTGGCCAGTTGGGAACAACCCAACACCTTACTATTGTAGATTAGAATTGATTCAATGTTCCTAAAGTAATTTTTCTTTTTGACCTTGAGGTTGTTATAAGTCTGTTTAGCTTTCCTGTAATTGATAAAATTTACATCATTCGTGTCTTTTCTGAATAAATTTAAGTTGATTTGTTTTATTTTTTTTCATTTTGTGACAGTGAAAATCATACCAGGGGTTTTTGTACTTGTTATAAATATTGCCTTTATCCTTTTTAATTTGGATGTATTCATTCATTATTTGAATCATAAGATTATAGCTTTCATCACTATTAGAATTGGTTGGTTCTGGGATATTAAAAAAGAAAAAAAAAGATTCTCAATTTTGGCCAAATATCTTGAGGTATTATAATTAATCCTTTGACACTTTTTAGGTAAATTAATAGATTTCTTTTGCAAAAACAATATGAATTTTGTTAAGTAGGGAAATAGTCACATGCATCAAATGTTGTTGTGATGAGTTCCAAGCAGCAGTCTAATAGAAATTCTGAACAAATTGTTAGGTTTATGGTGGATTTCCCACGAAATCCATTAAGAATAAACAATTTATTTTCAGTTTGAATATTTCAATTGAATTCATTCCCAGTCTGTTGATATGCTTATCTTTAGAAAGATGAATATTTTGAATTATGGAGTTGGGACCACCATACCATGAGTCCATCAAATCAGAAATACATGAGTTAAAGTCCCTGAGTAATAAAATGAATGGAGTAATATGTTGCCATAAATTTATTATATTAAAAGTTTCATTTAATTTACTTAAGGAATTGGGTGGAATATAGGTTATCATTACTATTATTAACTTGTTATTTACACTACCAAGCATAGGCTTGTTCATTGAAATTAGTAATAGTATATAGTTATTGGATTTTTCCATATGAAGTATTGTGCAAAGGTTCTTTTTATTAAAATACATAATCCACCACTTGGGTGGCCAGGACCTGATGGTTTACATGCCAATGCTATTTCTATTATGAATTTATTGAAAAAATTTGATTTATAAACCAGATCAGATGTTATCCATGTCTCAGTTATTCCAATTATGTCTGAATTAAATTTTGATTGTAGAATATTAAGTAATGGTATTTTAGGTTTAAGACCCTGACAGTTCCAGTTCATAACCACAAGTGGCTGATTATTTAAGCTAGATTTTCCGTGATGGAGTTTGCTTTGTTTCGTTGGACATCAACTTGCAGCCATCCTTGACAAGGAAAAAGGGAGAAAAGTCTCGACATGAACCAGCTTCTCCAAATCAACACTATATGTCAGTCTGTCTCTACCTATTCTTAAAGTATCATTGCATAATTTTGTTTGATGATTTTGTTTTCTAATTTCGTAAAAAATTGGAAGTAATAGTTTATGTTGGTCTTGATCCCCTTGTTAAATCTGGAGAGATTTGCGTATCTTTCCAATCATCCAGTAAATTTTGTCGTTTCATTTTTATAAAATTCATGAAAATATGATCTCGGATCTGATTGTTTTTTAGAGTTAATCTTATCACTGAATTCATTGATTTAGTTAGTTGAGTGACCTCCAGAACATCCTCCTGTGATGCATTTTGTAAATTTAATAATGAAGTAATAAAGTTATAAATTTCTAGTTTAGAGATATTTCTTGAGGTAGGGTAATTATAAAGTATAATATTGTTGCAGTGAAATTCATTAACTAGAACATCCATTTTGTATTGTGTAATTTCTTTTTCTATTTTTACATTATCAATTTGTTGTTTTAAATTGTTAATTTGTCCTTCCATATTTCTATATTGTTTTTTGGCTTCTTGAATACTTTCATGAATAAGGTCCAGATCTTCTTTAATAGAAATCATTTGGCTTGAAAGTTTACCATTGGAGGAGTTTATTAGATCAGAGATTTTGTTCTATAGAACTGCCATTGGGATGTCTGGCGAATCATTCAAATTAGTTAAAGAAGTAGAATAAGGATTATTTAGCTCACTTGGATGTTTTTGAGGACTTTGGGGAGTTATATCCAGAAACAGGCCAATGGCAGCTGAAGATGATTCCTGAGAGTCTTTATCACCGAGTAAGTTGAAGTCTGTTATAAATTTGGAATTGGTTGAAAATGGTAAATCTTGTTTGTTACCCAGTTTAGTATGATTTAGTGGTGGTCTTTCTCTTTTAATCGGCGAACGTTGCATTTTAATTTGTATTTAGTATTTCTCCAAAGAGTGTTAGATAAAATTTGAAACAAATCTTTGTTTAGTAATATAAATTAAATGAAATAACCAACACTCTGGTTTCCTGCAGGTAAACAAAGTGTGCAGCAAAAGTTCGTTAGTCTATATTATCATAAAAGAGAATTTTCTTGCAGAACAAAATAATACCTTCCATATTTAAAAGCAAAGAAATAAGATGAAATGATAATGATATATTTCATATAGTTATTTGTGTAAATTTAGAAATGTAACTTTGTCTTTTATTTAAGTTTTTGCTTTCATTTTCTTACAGTGAATGCAACTGATACTTTAATATTTTGAATGTCCATTGAAATTTCAGTATTATTGTTTTGTATAGAACTAACATGCAAAAAAATATATTTTAATATGATTCATTGAATGCAACTGATACTTTAATATTTTGAATGTCCATTGAAATTTCAGTATTATTGTTTTGTATAGAACTAACATGTAAATAAATATATTTTAATATGATTTTATGTGCTTTAAACGCTTTTCTAGTGATATTACGACTTCAATATTTGTGGCGGACAGACGTAAAGTCGAATAAAATGACTTAAACTTGATTTTTATTTTTCCATATACTTTTTTGACAAACGACGTATAATCGGGAACGNATTTATATAATGTTTGTTACTAATTTTTATATAAATCTTAGTTCTTATTTTATATATTACCTTTAATAATTTATCTTCTCCACCACTTACAAAATGTTTATCATCCGGTGTAACATCCAAACTATTAATTGATCCTAGATTGGAAGCATCCAAAGTTCTTATTTTGGAACCGTCATAAACTTCCCAGAATTCGATTTTCCGATTCGTACCACAAGTAACAATTTGACATTCTTTTGCACCATAACATACTTCATGAAATATACTATGAGATGATACAATTTGATTCCTTTTGTAGTCTTGTAAATCCCAGATAGCACAAGTTCCATCTGTGCTGGCAGTTACACATTCTTTCTCATTTTTATGCACTCGAATACATGAAACCGGACCTCTATGTTCTTTCATTGATGTTACGAGGGACTTAATAGGGATTGAATAAAAGTCAATATGGATTAAATAATTCCCATATAAAAATTTAAATTAACAATGAAATACAATAATTAATTTCTTTAAGATTTAATCACTAAGATGTAAAATATACCTGCTTATTGGACAATATTTTCCATAAGCGTACTTCTCCTTCACTACCACTGCTAATAATGAAATTTGAATCTAATGTCATCGCTACTGCAGTTATTGCTTTACTATGAGAATTATGAATTATGAATAATAATTTCCCAGTTTCTGGAGTATGAGCTCTTATATTACCATCATCCCATCCTGATATTTAAAAACAATCAATTTAAACCAAGACATAATGACTCTATAATCCAATGAAGACAAGAAACAAAGTCAAACATAGAATTCTGATTTGTGAATGTTGAGTTTTTGTTGTTCTAAAACCAGCTGAAGATGAAACAATGATTTGAAAATGTTTCTTATATTCAGAAAAAACTTTGAGACAAATAATTCTAAATAGTTTTAGATAAAAGCAAATAAATTCTGTTAAAGAACACACAAAATAACCTTGCAGTTTTTATAAATTTGTGTAAATACAGTATTTAATTGCAAAACAGAGCTCGTTTTTCAAAGACAATTATTATATCTCAGAATGTGGAGTTGGATATGTTTGAGTCTGTTTCTTGTTATCATTATGTAAAAAAATATAACTAGAAAAAAATCATACCACTAATAATACATTGTCCATTTGGAGAAAAGCACATAGCATTACAAACCATGTTCTTTACTGTTATTCGCAAGAGTTCTTGGCTAGTTTTTATATTCCATATTCGAATCGTTTCTTTAGAACAGGTACCAAATACATCAGATGAATTGCTGTATATTGAACAGATAAATTTTTATTAAAAATTAAATAAAGTTTATTTAAGATACATTAAACATAATTATTCAGTTAAAACAAAAATACAAATTCAAATTATTTAATTATCATATACATAAATAAAGTGAATCAGAATTTAAATGAATATTAAATTGTTACTTAACTATTCTATTACATTAAATAGCACCAAAACCTCTGAACAGCCACTGGATGGAAACATAAAAAATGGCTGCTATTTAGAGGTGACAGTTATTGAAGGTTCGACTGTAATATATAGTATGCGAATTAACAATGCTGTATTTAAAGTCTAATTCTGCATGTGTGAATTAGAAAAATTAGAAAAAATATTTAATTATGATGAGTATAAGATTATGATCATTAGATAGAGTCGAGTCACTCAGTAAATTTATCATTTCTTTAATTTCTGATATTAAAAGTTTTCAATGATATAAATTAATGCTGTTCATCTACAAAAGCAATAAAACAAAAAATGATAGATTGACTTTAACTCCTAGAGTTAAATAATGTTAATGTACAGGTTCTCTAATTTGCAATTCTTCATATAACAAACATTTTGACTAACAAAACATGACGTCAGTGAATATAGTATATGAATATATGAGGTTTATTATGCTACATATGAATGAATCTCTAAATTTGCCAATTAAAATTTCTCATATTTCAAACCTAAAGAATTCTGAATATGTACTGCACAGTGCATCTTACCAGGAAATATTCTCTAAGTTGGATATCCAACTCAGAGAATACTGCTTGGTGTGATTTACATACATTCTTTTCTATGGTATTGCATACTATAATAGACCATGTGCAATATTTATATATGCTTATCAAGTAATAACTGATTATTTTTATTATTAATCTCAATATAAAGAATTCTACTTACATCAAACTCAAAATTTTGTTCCTCTCAAATTCTTTAATTTGAGAATTTTCTGTGTATATAAGATCAAATTCTGTACTTTAATTAACTAAAATTAGCCGATTATAACCTGAAAAGAATTCAGCTTTTGGATACATATTTGGAAAACAGTATCGATCATTATGTGCAAAGTTCAATTATGTATTAATTCTATTTTTCAAATCAATTAAATCAAATCAAATGGATTTTCAAATCAAAACTTTAAATAAGGTAAACTTTAAGATTTTGGTTTGGAATTAATGCATTTTACATTCACAGAAAAAGAACCTTTGAATTAATAAATATTTATGTCCGATTGCAGGTGAATATGATTTAATCTGTACAACTAAATAGTATTTTATTCAGAACTGTTATTTGTTGATTAAATCATTAAGCAGTTACTAGATCTCATGTAAAGTTAGCTGAATAGCAATAGCATATTCAGGAAGGGCCTAGGAGACCTGTGCTTTCCTTGTCTTTATAAATAAATTAAGAAAAAATCAAATAAATGCAGGAAAAAGATTTGAATGTGATAAATACATATTAATATGTACAGTATGTGCAATATATAAAAGTTTACTCTCATCCACAGTATTACAGGGATGAATGTAGGTTTGTATGTTGTAATTCAGGCCCCCTCACACACAGTGCTCTCTATTTTCAGAGCTGTGTAGCACTTAGGGGGCCTGAATTACAACATAAAAACCTACATTCATCCCTGTAATACTGTGGATGAGAGTAAACTTTAAGATTTTGGTTTGGAATTAATGCATTTTACTTTTTTTTAAAATTTACTTTAAAATACAAGTATATATATATATATATACTTGTATTTTAAAGTAAATTTTAAAAAAAAGTAAAATGCATTAATTCCAAACCAAAATCTTAAAGTTTACTCTCATCCACAGTATTACAGGGATGAATGTAGGTTTTTATGTTGTAATTCAGGCCCCCTAAGTGCTACACAGCTCTGAAAATAGAGAGCACTGTGTGTGAGGGGGCCTGAATTACAACATACAAACCTACATTCATCCCTGTAATACTGTGGATGAGAGTAAACTTTTATATATTGCACATACTGTACATATTAATATGTATTTATCACATTCAAATCTTTTTCCTGCATTTATTTGATTTTTTCTTAATTTATTTATAAAGACAAGGAAAGCACAGGTCTCCTAGGCCCTTCCTGAATATGCTATTGCTATTCAGCTAACTTTACATGAGATCTAGTAACTGCTTAATGATTTAATCAACAAATAACAGTTCTGAATAAAATACTATTTAGTTGTACAGATTAAATCATATTCACCTGCAATCGGACATAAATATTTATTAATTCAAAGGTTCTTTTTCTGTGAATGTAAAATGCATTAATTCCAAACCAAAATCTTAAAGTTTACCTTATTTAAAGTTTTGATTTGAAAATCCATTTGATTTGATTTAATTGATTTGAAAAATAGAATTAATACATAATTGAACTTTGCACATAATGATCGATACTGTTTTCCAAATATGTATCCAAAAGCTGAATTCTTTTCAGGTTATAATCGGCTAATTTTAGTTAATTAAAGTACAGAATTTGATCTTATATACACAGAAAATTCTCAAATTAAAGAATTTGAGAGGAACAAAATTTTGAGTTTGATGTAAGTAGAATTCTTTATATTGAGATTAATAATAAAAATAATCAGTTATTACTTGATAAGCATATATAAATATTGCACATGGTCTATTATAGTATGCAATACCATAGAAAAGAATGTATGTAAATCACACCAAGCAGTATTCTCTGAGTTGGATATCCAACTTAGAGAATATTTCCTGGTAAGATGCACTGTGCAGTACATATTCAGAATTCTTTAGGTTTGAAATATGAGAAATTTTAATTGGCAAATTTAGAGATTCATTCATATGTAGCATAATAAACCTCATATATTCATATACTATATTCACTGACGTCATGTTTTGTTAGTCAAAATGTTTGTTATATGAAGAATTGCAAATTAGAGAACCTGTACATTAACATTATTTAACTCTAGGAGTTAAAGTCAATCTATCATTTTTTGTTTTATTGCTTTTGTAGATGAACAGCATTAATTTATATCATTGAAAACTTTTAATATCAGAAATTAAAGAAATGATAAATTTACTGAGTGACTCGACTCTATCTAATGATCATAATCTTATACTCATCATAATTAAATATTTTTTCTAATTTTTCTAATTCACACATGCAGAATTAGACTTTAAATACAGCATTGTTAATTCGCATACTATATATTACAGTCGAACCTTCAATAACTGTCACCTCTAAATAGCAGCCATTTTTTATGTTTCCATCCAGTGGCTGTTCAGAGGTTTTGGTGCTATTTAATGTAATAGAATAGTTAAGTAACAATTTAATATTCATTTAAATTCTGATTCACTTTATTTATGTATATGATAATTAAATAATTTGAATTTGTATTTTTGTTTTAACTGAATAATTATGTTTAATGTATCTTAAATAAACTTTATTTAATTTTTAATAAAAATTTATCTGTTCAATATACAGCAATTCATCTGATGTATTTGGTACCTGTTCTAAAGAAACGATTCGAATATGGAATATAAAAACTAGCCAAGAACTCTTGCGAATAACAGTAAAGAACATGGTTTGTAATGCTATGTGCTTTTCTCCAAATGGACAATGTATTATTAGTGGTATGATTTTTTTCTAGTTATATTTTTTTACATAATGATAACAAGAAACAGACTCAAACATATCCAACTCCACATTCTGAGATATAATAATTGTCTTTGAAAAACGAGCTCTGTTTTGCAATTAAATACTGTATTTACACAAATTTATAAAAACTGCAAGGTTATTTTGTGTGTTCTTTAACAGAATTTATTTGCTTTTATCTAAAACTATTTAGAATTATTTGTCTCAAAGTTTTTTCTGAATATAAGAAACATTTTCAAATCATTGTTTCATCTTCAGCTGGTTTTAGAACAACAAAAACTCAACATTCACAAATCAGAATTCTATGTTTGACTTTGTTTCTTGTCTTCATTGGATTATAGAGTCATTATGTCTTGGTTTAAATTGATTGTTTTTAAATATCAGGATGGGATGATGGTAATATAAGAGCTCATACTCCAGAAACTGGGAAATTATTATTCATAATTCATAATTCTCATAGTAAAGCAATAACTGCAGTAGCGATGACATTAGATTCAAATTTCATTATTAGCAGTGGTAGTGAAGGAGAAGTACGCTTATGGAAAATATTGTCCAATAAGCAGGTATATTTTACATCTTAGTGATTAAATCTTAAAGAAATTAATTATTGTATTTCATTGTTAATTTAAATTTTTATATGGGAATTATTTAATCCATATTGACTTTTATTCAATCCCTATTAAGTCCCTCGTAACATCAATGAAAGAACATAGAGGTCCGGTTTCATGTATTCGAGTGCATAAAAATGAGAAAGAATGTGTAACTGCCAGCACAGATGGAACTTGTGCTATCTGGGATTTACAAGACTACAAAAGGAATCAAATTGTATCATCTCATAGTATATTTCATGAAGTATGTTATGGTGCAAAAGAATGTCAAATTGTTACTTGTGGTACGAATCGGAAAATCGAATTCTGGGAAGTTTATGACGGTTCCAAAATAAGAACTTTGGATGCTTCCAATCTAGGATCAATTAATAGTTTGGATGTTACACCGGATGATAAACATTTTGTAAGTGGTGGAGAAGATAAATTATTAAAGGTAATATATAAAANCAATTTACAAGGAATAAATACAGCAAGCCATCTCCATCTTTTATGCTCTCAACACTTGTCTTGATGGTGGGTTTCGAATTTTTGATTAAAATTCGAAACCCATCATCAAGATTTTTGATTAAAAGTATATGGATTTTTTTCATAGCAAATTATACAGTATTTCTTCACTAATAAAGAAAACAATTTAATGCTATTTTATCCGAGGGAAGTTTTTATCACTGTTATTATCCGGAAGTTTAGAATACAGAATGAATCTAAATTGAGAAAAATCGACTTTATACACTAAAAACACATTTAAAACTGTTACTTATTCTTGTTATTATCTATCTTTGATACATAGAATTTAACATATTAACTTACAGTTGTAACAATAATCACAATAAAAGGTTCAATACCTTCATTCTGTACTAACTTTATAAAACTTAGAAATAATCGATTTAAAATGCTGTATAAGGCTTTATACTCAAAGTTTATTAATCTATTAAGCTAATTATAAAAAGTATTCAAATACTAGAACTTAATCAGCATATCAGTAGTAAATATTCAGATGGCATTTACCTTTAAAACTGTCAATTAAAATGCTAATGTGTATCATAAATATTGATATTCCTATTATAAGAAAGGATAAATACAATGTTATATTTGGAGGATGGATCAACACAATGCTTACAATTACTTACATAGGAAGGGTGGAGTTAAATTAACGTATATTTTATATTTGAATGCCCTTTGTGTCGTTCACAAATAACATGTAGCCTATAATCTATTCAGAGATCCGATAGATCAATTAATTGTTGCGTGCTATGAAATTTGATACACAGCATACAATACTGTACTCAGACTTTGCCCTTCTTTCTACTGCACACCACAGTATCATCTTTGATATTTAATTAAGTATAAATTTCAGAATTTAGGTACTTAAAATCTGTAAAGGTTTGTTTATTTTTTAATGAACTAATTCATTTGTATTCGTTCTCCTCTTCCAGCCATCCTGAAAACAGACAAATCTGCATAATCAATGAATTAAAATAACCAAATTTTGCACCCATATTCGAATAAACTAATACGAAATTAATCAAATCCCGTTTTTACGATGGATTTAAACATTCTGACAATAAGCAAGCCTCCTTTTGTATGTTGACTATCTGCAGGGCTGGACTTAAAACTTGTGACCCTAAGTTATAATATATAACAAGCCTTTTTCTCTGATGATAGATGTAAAAATGCGAGGCCCAAGTTGCAACTTATGTGCAAATCCGACCCTGAGTTTAGGGCCTAGCATATTTACATATATCATCTGGTAGAGAGGAAGGGCCTGTTATATTATACTCACAAGTCTGTGTCAAGTTATACAGTTCAAAGTTATAATTCTTATTGATGACCCTCCTAAACTCGTTTAACGACGGTCGTAAAGCGGGGTAGGACAAACTTAATGCAAAATGTAATGGTAATCTCTTTAGATATTAAAATTTTAAAGTAATTAATATATTTTTTCTCCTCCTAATGATTCATTATGTCGTTATTTATATCAAAGTTAATTAAAATGTGAAAAAGTAATTAGAAAAAGAATTCTTACTGGAAAGCGCCATATTGCTTTTTTGTTAGGTTCTATTTAATACCGTTGCTATAGCAACATAAACATCAACTACAATTTAAAACACTTGTAAGAATTTGTATTTTTTGTTTTTTTTTTAATTCTGACATTAAATAACTGTTAACTTCTTTTATTATTATTTAAATCTCTAAATGTATAATTAATATCATTATAAATATTTATAATGAAAGATTCAATAACAATTATTAAAATATAAACATTTGACAGAATTTTTTTTTTAATGTAAATGAATTAAAACTTTAAACAATGTCAAGAAAAAATTGATAAAATCCTTAAGAATATTTCTTTTTAAATGTATAATGCTTTACATTAAGTATTCATTTTTTGTATGTTAACCATCAACATCAATATTGTTACCAATCAAATTAATATAAGAATTAAAATTTCTCACAAATTAATTATTATTTTAGTAATTTTGGATTAATATCAATTTACTTTTCTTAATTTGTAATGGAT